CTTTTATTCACATATAAACACTGATCAGCGAACTTAAGCTCAACCGAAACTGCTTGACGCACGAGAACAAACCTCATTGGTTCTTTGCTGAATCTCAAACATGCTGCGTATACACGAGAATGAACCTCATTGGTTCAAAAATGCTTGAGCTTCCATTGTGGGAGTTGATGAATGTTGATTCTGAAGTGTGCATACGATGGACAATTTACGGGAGGGGATTTATGAATGACATTGAAGTGACGCAACAAACGTTTGTAGGTCACATGACAGTAACAACATGGCGGATGTAGTATGTCTGAATTTCATTCATACTACCCACGATTATACTATATAGAACGTACATTTTTTAATGGTCGCAAAGTAAGTTCCAATTCAAAGTACATACTCAGACAGTATGCGATTTCGGACGAAGCGAGGGTTTAGAGTTTCCTTCACCATTGTGATAGCTTTCATTTACATTCAACTGGTAAATATGATGTTTCTGAGATGACTTGTACTGTGTTCATACTATGTCGTAATAACCTTAATTACAAAATGACAGGACGTGATGTTCTGCTGTTTACGTCTTCGGATTCGGAATTGTGCGTTTCTGTGACAACATTATCGATGCCAAACAGAGTGCAAAAGTCGGTTTCCGGAAGTAAAAACTCATTCATTTTCTCCACAAAGAAAATTGATTTTGAACAATAACTTATAAACCTTTAAGGACAGACCTACTGTGAGCTACGAGGTTGTTAATCCATAATATTTGCTTCTATTGAAGCCATTAGCTTATTTTTAAATAATCATGTTTAACAGTGTAATTCCTGGTGATAACCTACATTACCCATGATGCTGTACAGAAAATTACACCAATCGGAGAGTTGAAAAAAAGCAACATGCTCCAAATTGCTCTTTAGCTATTTTGATCAGCGCCATTGAAAAAGGGGGTGGGCACTGTTGCACTCTATTGCATCTGCAGCGGTCAGGTGGTACAGAGGTCACATGGAAAATTCCCAGTATACATGTTGACTACAGGTTATTACCATATGGCGTGAATGAACATTTTAATGCACTATAGACCCTGTTTACACCTGCGTTTGGTTGATCGGATCACAAGTAGACAAGGGAGACACATTCCCGTTTACATCTGGCGTTTCAATCCGTCTCTTTTGTCCACTTTCAACCACTTCTGTCCCGCTTTCTTGAAGGGGAGGGTCTATGGGCGGGTAAATGTATGGGTTTTTCAGATCTTGCGATCTAATGGATGAAATAAGCTCACGGAATTCACATATGAACGCGCCTGGAGACGATGTAAAAAGACCACGTAAGACTCTGAACAGCCGCAAGATCACGCCAGACACTGCGAGTGTGTTAGAAATCAGGAATGGTGAGAGAACGTTGTGTTTGATATGTTTTTCGTCCTTAAACCAAACTTGGGCTTCCAGCCGGCAAAGTTTAAATCCCGTCTGGCTAGTGCGCTGCTTCTTTTGCGGCTGTTGGAACACATTCGACCACATGACCGTTTACATTACGAAAGCAATCCGGTCGAATGGGTTTTTGTCTACCCCTGGAAGTGGTCGAAAGTGGACAAGCTCAAAACGTTTTAGACCTTTACACCTGCATTTAGTGTCGTCCACTTTTGATCCGATCGACCAAAAAGCATCTTAATACCAGGTGTAAACAGGGCCCATATATAGGCCAATTCACACTGCACTGATAGACGGCGACCATTGCGGACAATCACCAGATTACAGCACGTCACTTCTCAGACATTCCACAACCGGACAAGCCGATTCAACATGTTCAATCAGCAAAAACAAGCTCCGACAAAACCCTGATGAAGTGTCAGTGCAGTATGAATTGGCCTTATGATTTTTGAAGGTTCATGTGACACTGAACATTGGAGACATGGCTGCTAAATATTCTAACAGCTGCTATAATGTGAGAGTTAACAATCATTTTCCAATCAAATTAGCGATCGCTTCCGAACCATGATCAACGTGTTGGGAGATGCCTACGGTGCCGGAATAGTCCAGAAGCTGTCTAAGCGAGAACTAGAGAGGATGGACCTGATTTCAGACGTGGATGCGGCCAACCCCTTCGCCCTAGAGACCACGCTGGACGACGACGAGTGCGAGAAGAAATCTTACGTGAACGGTGGATTCACCATTGACAAAAGCGACGCCATTTCCTTCACCGAGACCTCGCAGTTCTAGAGGTAACGTGACAAATGTGACATCACTGAAAGGAGGGTTCAGAGAGGTAGGAGCCATTCATAAAAGCTGTGCTATGACTAGGACAGAAAGTCATTACCAAGGACATGATTGAGCGCAGACATTAGCAATACCTGCCCTTGCGGTTCTCCTTCTTTCATTTTCCATGCTCTTGAACTTACGTGTGCGCTAGACAGAGAGAAAAAATGTCCGTAAGGAAACTATGTGCTTCCACAGCTCATTTACATGTTGCCATGATTTATGCAAAGCGGTTTTTCCTTTAATTAACTGCAGTTGTTTTCTTTGGCTTCGTACTAATGAATAGCTTTTTAGCAGTAGGTGATTTTTGTATTGTACAACAAAAGAGCATGTTGCTAACTAGCCAATGTTACTATACACAAAAAAAACGCTGAATTTAAGGTCATCGAAATCTGCTTTTTTTTTTTCGCAAATTATGTTCATTTGTTTTAGACTCGGTAAAGTGTGAAATTTTGCCAGTTATGTATTTGCACTTGCTATTGAGAGCCAAATGTGTATGAGCTTTGCGTGTCTTTCATTTCAGATTTGTGCCAAATTGTTGATATGAAGGGGAACATTTTTATACAAACTTCTAAAATGAAATGAAATATTGCATGATAAGGATTTGATATGAAGTACAGGAATGGCCTTGAGAATGAAAATCAGATCCTTTGTACACAATTATTTTGTCATGACACTGAAGGTGGCAAGCCTTAATAGTTTCTTCAGCAAGCCACTCATTTTATGGTTTTACTTTGTCGTTGTTGTTGAATCAGAGCTATTTTAAAGAATATTTTTTAAAAGACTACACCGATGATGTTGTCAGTGCCAAATTTCTGCCATTGAAGCAGTTTTTAAGTTTCTTTTACAGTATTTAATTTCTTTATATTTTGTTTTACATTAGAAATGAGAGAAAACGATCAATGTGAAGCATTAATGGTCTGTGTTTGAGGTTCTGGAACTGAATTAACACCATAAAGCACACCATTGTACAACTGTATTTATACAGTACAGTAGTCAAATTAGTTATACTGTATGATTCAACAAGTACTGTATGTGTATCCACAAAATAATAAAGACAAATGTCAACACCTGAAAAATTGCCTAAATTGCCTTTTTTCATGTAACAAAATACCATGAGATGTTGTTTAACAAGTTTCAGCTTGTGTTGTTTAATTGTAGAGTGTAATGTTTCTAATATTCTTTGATATACACTCACCGGCCACTTTATTAGGTACACACGTTCTATTGCGCATTAACGCGAATATATAATCAGCCAATCACATGGCAGCAACTCAATGCGTTTAGGCATGTAGACATGGTCAAGACGATCTGCTGAAGTTCAAACTGAGCATCAGAACGGGGAAGGAAAGGTGATTTAAGTGACTTTAACGTGGCATGGTTGGTGGTGCCAGACGGGCTGGTCTGAGTATTTCAGAAACTGCTGATCTACTGGAATTTTCACGCACAACCATCTATAGGATTTACAGAGAATAGTAAAAAAGAGAAAATATCCAGTCAGTGGCAGTTCTGTGGGTGAAAATGCCTTGTTGATGCCAGAGATTAGAGGAGAATGACCTGACTGGTTCCAGCTGACAGAAAGGCAACAGTAACTCAAAAGTCCAATCTTGAAGCAGAAGAGCTACAGCAGCAGAAGCAACAATTCACACAGGCTCACCAAAATTGGACAATAAAAGATAGGAAAATGTTGCCTGGTCTGATGAATCTCGATTTCTGCTGCAACATTCAGATGGTAAGGGCAGAATTTGGTGTAAAAACATGAAATAATGGATCCATCATGCCTTGTATCTGTGGTTCAGACTGGTGGTGGTGTAATTGTGTGAGGGATATTTTCATGGCACACTTTAGGCCCCTTAGTACAGGACTCCAAGACCTTATATGTGTCAGATAAGGGAGACATCCAAATTATGCACTGTTGGTGTGCCTTCAGGAACAGGGTTGTGAAACACTGCTTTAAACGATGCTCAGTTGCATCGTTTAAACCAGTGTTTCCCAACCCAATCTTCTGATGGCTACTTCCAGCAGGATAACACGTCATGTCACAAAGCTCAAATCATCTCAAGCTGGTTTCTTGAAAACTGGTTTCATGAGTTCACTATACTCAAATGGCCTCCACAGTCACCAGATCTCAATCCAATAGAGCAGCTTTGGGATGTGGTGGAATGGGAGACTTACATCATGGATGTGCAGCCGACAAATTTGCAGCAATTGCGTGATTCTGTCAAGTCAATATGGAATAAAATCTCTGAGGTATGATTTCAGAACCTTGTTAGATCAATGCCATGAAGAATTAAGGCAGTTCTGAAGGCAAAAGGGGGTCCATCCCGGTACTAGCAAGGTGTACCTAATAAAGTGGCCGGTGAGTGTATATATAGACAGATGTTCTTCATTTATTTAATACTCAAGGGGACAGTCCAAGGGGGGAATGCAGTAGACAAAACACACCTGAGGCTCCCTGACACAAACAGAATAAGCCGTTTGAACTTCATAATCAACCAAAGAAGGGATTTCATTTTAATTGCTAATAATTGAAAGGCAACATTTGCATGAAAATGCAAAAAAAGAGAAGAAGAAAGGATGTCATCAAAGCACTGCTGAATGGTCATTTAAGAAGATTTTTTCTTCTTCTAGAGTTTTTGTATGTTATTAATGGACCTTTGCCTTATTTACATAGGAATCTCATTGTGAAACGGTGCATGTCAAACACTTTTATGACCATGTGCAATGATACTGCACCACAGCCTCGACACGACAAGGAAGGTTATATTAAGCACATGTACCATTTTAGCATCACAACAGTCTATTTTGGTCTCCATTACATGACACAAGCTCATGAGGTGAATCAGGTGTGTACTTTTTTGGGGCCTTCAGGAACAGGGTTGAGAACCACTGTGCTTCAAAAACACCTGGAATATACTATTTCACTTCAAAACTGCAATACAAACACAACTACAAACAAACACACTCATAATTGAATGGAAAATGATGCAATGCCACAAGAAATCACAGGGTCCTCTGCTTCATCTGTAGATAAAGAGAAGGACGCTCTTTGAATAAATACCCACTGAAGTTGTACAACCCTTGAGAAAAAAGAAGTTTGCTTAATTGGCTTAATTGTATTAAATGTGCACTTGTTATGATCTTAAGTATATATATATATATATATATAAACTGTACTTGCAGTACATTTACAATATTAAAATACAATATTAATGAGATAAAAGGCCACTTAAGTGTACTTAAAAAGAGTACACTTAACACACTTAAGTACACTTTTAAAATGTGCACTTTGTAATAATGTCAAATTAAGTTTTACTTTAAAATACATTTTAAATCATGTTTTAATAATCATGATATTTTGGCATGCTTTAAAGAAGTACACTTATTTTGATGTGTTGACTAACATACTAAAGCACATGTGAAGTACTTGATTATAATGTTAACTGTAACTATATTTAATATTCAAATATTTAATGTATTAAATTGCAACTTCATCCTTACAAATGTGTAACAAATATATTTAACTACATGACATACAAGTTTAAATAGAAATGACATTAAAGTATTTAATCTACTATAAAGGCTTGTCAGTACATTCGGCTGACATTTCAAAGACAAGAAGTAATTATGCTGTTACTTGCTATTTGTATTTAATATCAATTTAAACTATAATACACATACTAAACTATAATAAACATTTAATTGCAATTAACATGCATTTGACTGAAAATATTACATTCAGTTCACACTTAAGTATATTCTTTTTAAGATTATGGCCAAGACTCTTATTATTATTGCAATAATTTATAATTTAAGCATACGTACCACTTCCTTATAACACACACAGGTGTTTAAAATGGGCATGAGTGGGCCAAAACACATCTCCGTATCAGTACCTCGTCTATCTCAGAGTCCGTGGCACCCTGACACCAAAAACAGAGGCAGAGGAGGTTAAATGATCCATCCCACATTCTGCACAACATTCCACTGCAATTATTCCTCAAATGGAGTGTGTGTGTGTGTGTGTGTGTGTGTGCTCTTGTTTTTATTACATTGTGAGGACCAAATGTCCCCACAAGAATAGTAAAACGTGAAATCACCTACATTGTGAAGACTAGCCAATGGTCCTCCCCACAAGGGAAATTGATTAATGAACATACTTAATGATGTTTTTTAGAAAATGTAAAAGAGCAGAAAGTTTTCTGTGATGGGTAGGTTTAGGGGTAGTGTTAGTGTAAGGGGACAGAATATACAGTTTGTACAGTATAAAAACCATTACGTCTATGGATAGTCCCCACAAAGATAGTGGACCAGACATGTGTGTGTGTGTGTGTGTGTGTGTTTGCGTGTGTGTGTGTGTGTGTGTGTGTGTGTGTGTGTGTGTGTGTGTGCGCGCAGGCATTTAAGTGGTACTCACACATGCTAGTCTATGAACTGCTTTGGGAGATGTTAAAAGGCTCTGAACCCGTTCCTGAACCTCCTCCCAAAGGTCAGAAGAGCCCAAGAGAGAGCTGCAGAAAATAACACAGTATTTACATTTTTTTTTAAAGAAGGCATCACTATTACAATTGCTTATACTTAAGAACAGTGAACAAACACCTCAAACCAATGTATTAAAACTCTGGCAGGTAAACTGTACAGCTACAGAAATGAACGATACTTCATATAGGCCGGGAGCCAGGTCCACTCCTCAGGATGTTTTTTGCTACCTTTTTTTCACTTTTATTTCCTATTATCTTATACCTTGGGCCATCACAAGTTGATAATGACCACCCCCAACTCGGCCCCGTTTGGCCTCAGGGGCCAAAAAACACCCTTTTGGGGGAAAGCTTTTGGCGGAATTATGTAATTGTGAATATTAAGGTACTGCAGCTACATAAATGGTCATATAACCCTAAAATGTTGCATAGTGTATCCTGACACATAGGGGAAACTAGCAGAAAAAGATTCTGGGGATTGCTGCCTTTTTACTGTCAAATATCACCCTCAACATACCCCAAAAGACAAAAAAAAATGTCTGTCCGCCTGACATATTGTCATCAAAGATGATCATTTTCAAGCATTTTATTATACATATAACTGCCACAAATGTACATGAAAAACTTCCCAAGTTTATAAGCTTCAATTTAAGTTCAAGATGACCTTTCTATCTAGAAGATTACAGCTGGTATAACCAAAGTTCTCCACTGTACCTCAAATCGGAGAAAACGGAACTTTCAAGCATTACCATTCCATATGGGATTTTTGCATATGAACAATATATCTAAAAAGAGTTGAGACTTGACTTATCTACTGCTATTCTATATGAAGTGAATTGCATGAAAATTGAGTAATGTTATGCCCCTAGGTGGACTGGGGTCAGGGTGCAACATAGGGTACATTCACAACAAAATCAATTAACCAAATGTGAGATTTATTAAAGCCCACAAATTGCAAAACAAGGAATAAAGATGACTCTAGTGTGCAGTCTGTTATCAAAAAGCCAACCTTCAATAGAGTAAACATTAGTAACCTTCTGTAAAGATAAACATTCTTTATAGCCAAATGGCGAAAATTATTTACCTTACAAGTGAATAATACTGTCACCCCCCTTTTTTTCGCATAGACATAAAAACCACTATCCAAACTTAAATGGTTGTAATTCAAGAATGCTTTGGAATATAGACTTATGGTTGGTCTTGTTTTAAAGAAGACATTTGCCAGATTATTGTAGAAGTGTAGAAATGATGAAAGTAAAACATAAAAAAGTTAAATAAGTTTCAGTTTATGAACATGTGCAATGTAAAAATATAATTATTAATAGTTTATATAAAATATATATATATTACAAAATATATTTTACTCTAAAACTGCCAAAAATCTGAACAAGTTGTGTTCCACATTTTAGGTTGATATCTCACAAAATGAGCTTTCAGTAAGATTTTATTTGGGCGCAGTACCAAACTTTTTCACTAGGTGAACACCAGACTCCATTACTGCCCATATAAGGGCGCCTCCATTTTCATATGTGTTTTGAGTGATCTGAACCATGTATTTCCATTATTTTCATACGATTTATGAAGTAGACATCCTATTCAGAAGTAATATGGGTGGTTTGGCAGTATTTGATTTGAATTCAACCTCTAATAAATGCATAAAAAGACCACATATGTGCATTAGCCTATAGCTCGCAGCCACATCACAAATCGAGAATCCATAATATTTTTCTTTATATTTAAAACATTTTCAGACCTTTTTTTTCTCATAAAATCAAATTGGTGTTATCTTGTTATCTTGGTGTTATCTTTGAACTCTTGGCATGAAAACAAACTGATGTTTCTACCAATCTTTCATGATTGTTCATGTTTATTGCTATTTCAAAATAAAGGCCTAAACACTCCTAATGAATATGAAATATTCTTGTTGCAAATTGATAAATTACTGCTCCTCCTTAAAACAGCCACCAAATAAGAAAACTAGAGATTGTAAGCTTTCAAATTATATATAGTTTGTCAATATTACTTTTGGTTTTTACTAAGATATTATTGTTTATAATCTCATATACCCCTTTTCCACCAAGGCAGAGCTGGTGCTGGTTCGGAGCCAGAGCCTAGTTTCAATTCGGTTCTTTGTTTTTCCACACGCAAAGCACCAGCTCCGAACCAGGAAAAGTGGTTCTTAAGTAGCACCAAATCATTGCTGGTCTAAAACAGAGCCAAGTAAGAACCGCTTGCGTCAGGGGCTGGGGGCGGGGTTACCGTGACCAACAAGACGAATAGAAACTTGTGACCGCCATTTTTAAATAGCAGCTAGTCGAGCTAATAGCAGCTTGATTATAATATCCGTCTATGTAAGTTATGGCGAGCTGCACAAACGCGTTGGATTCCGATGTATTTTTGCAAACCCATGAGCATCCATAGTACGCAACGTCCGTTATTGTTGATGGCTTGTTCGAGATGCATCGGAGCGGCGCGGACCGATCGGAGCTGCGGGAGTGTTTGGAGATCATACGACTCCTTGTGCTTTTGGATCGCTTTCGCAGTGCTTTGATGTCAAGCGGCGATCGATCTGCGAGAAGCCGATGCATCTCGAACAAGCCTGGCGTGTTTGTGTTTGGCGCTACCGCACTAGCGTTGCTGGGCAACATGAGACGTATGCAGTGACGTAAGATCTGGCTCTGTTGTGGCTCTCTAGCCGGTGGAAAGGCAAACCGGTTCTTAGTAAGCTTGTCAGTCGAACCAACTCCGAACCAGCTCTGGCTCTGGCTCTGAACCAGCACCCGGTTCATGTTGGTGGAAAAGGGGTAATAGAGGAGTCTCTCTAGAGCTTCCAGCATGGATTTGTGTGTATTTATTGCTCTGTCCCAATTCTTCCCATCGGTGACCCCAGCCACAGAGCCAGTGGTGATCAGATTTGCTTCCAAAGCCACTTCTACCCATCCACTCCCTTGACAGTATCTTCTGCCTATGCCTTTCAAGTATGCTCCACAGCAATGGAACGTACCAATGAGGATGATATGCTTTTGGTATTTTTCAGGTTCATTCCATACTAGAGGATATGCTTTCATGCAAACACCTAGATCAAATGTACAGATGGTGTACTCTTGTCCAGCTTCAGAAGACATAGCTTGGCTGTATCTGAAGCATTCTTGAATAGTTGCCAAGTCAGTTATGGGAGCATTGATCATGGGATAGTACCCAATTGTGGTGAGGCATTTTGGAGACTGGCCAGTAAGAGACACCTAGCCTGACAAACCAGGGATGTGCTGATCCTTATAGTTGATTTTACGAGCAAAGACCCAAATTAGATCAGTATCTGATGATTTTGATTGACTATATGTGGTTAAGTTATTGGAACTAGATGACACCAAATTGGTGGGTTCAGATCGTTTCCGTTTGTAGTAAGTTGGCAACTCTGTGGCAGGACTTCTAAATGATCGTTGTTTTTTTGTAGGCTGAGTGTTAGGATTAGACTCTTGAGTGGGCTTTTCTGGGGTAGGGGAGTCGATATTTGCACAGGACTCTTGTGTAGGCTGTGCCGAGGAAAGTGCTTCTGCATCCACACAAGAACCAAGATCTTGCATGTAGATCCCTGCAGCGGTATGAATGGATCTGCCCCATATACATCTGATACCAGCTGATCAAAATTGTCCCAGTCACTGTGGAAGACTGCTCCATCAGGCTGCCTCTTGATAACATCTGAGTTGCTGACTAATGAAGCACTTTCGACAATTGAATTTGCCAGAGCCGTTTCAAGTTAAATTGAGTATGTGTATGACTCACAGTGACCAAGCCTATTTATCAAAGTGGTGATGCTCTTAGATCTGAATAGATGGCGTAGTGTCATACATAACAAGATGTGTTTTTTCATCTTCCATTGACCTGATGTTGCTGATCTGCAGATGTCTTAAGAAATGGATGATACCAGACTTTCCTCCCGATATGAGGGCTTCTTATCTCCACAAATGAGGTTTAAAATGAATTGTAAAACCTCTGAAGGAATCTCCTCAGTTGGATCATGGAGATCATGAGCCCTCGGAGGCCAAGAGAGTGGCTCAGAGGTTTTAAAGGCTGTTACAATTTTTCTTGTGAAGACTATGGCTGACCTCTTTGCTCCAATCAGTAATTCACAACTCATAAGCTGAACGCACTGTCGTCTTCATGGATTCTAGGGAATGTTTTATCAATGTTTTATCTCCTAACTGTCACAGGTGGGACGTTTGCCATTACATATTTTAAACAATAATATCTTAGTAAAAACCAAAAGTAATATTGACAAACTATATATAATTTGAAAGCTTACAATCTCTAGTTTTCTTATTTGGTGGCTGTTTTAAGGAGGAGCAGTAATTTATCAATTTGCAACAAGAATATTTCATATTCATTAGGAGTGTTTAGGCCTTTATTTTGAAATAGCAATAAACATGAACAATCATGAAAGATTGGTAGAAACATCAGTTTGTTTTCATGCCAAGAGTTCAAAGATAACACCAAGATAACAAGATAACACCAATTTGATTTTATGAGAAAAAAAAGGTCTGAAAATATTTTAAATGTTAAAAAATGTTTTAAATATAAAGAAAAATATTATGGATTCTCGATTTGTGATGTGGCTGCGAGCTATAGGCTAATGCACATATGTGGTCTTTTTATGCATTTATTAGAGGTTGAATTCAAATCAAATACTGCCAAACCACCCATACTACTTCTGAATAGGATGTCTACTTCATAAATCGTATGAAAATAATGGAAATACATGGTTCAGATCACTCAAAACATATATGAAAATGGAGGCGCCCTTATATGGGCAGTAATGGAGTCTGGTGTTCACCTAGTGAAAAAGTTTGGTACTGCGCCCAAATAAAATCTTACTGAAAGCTCATTTTGTGAGATATCAACCTAAAATGTGGAACACAACTTGTTCAGATTTTTGGCAGTTTTAGAGTAAAATATATTTTGTAATATATATATATTTTATATAAACTATTAATAATTATATTTTTACATTGCACATGTTCATAAACTGAAACTTATATAACTTTTTTATGTTTTACTTTCATCATTTCTACACTTCTACAATAATCTGGCAAATGTCTTCTTTAAAACAAGACCAACCATAAGTCTATATTCCAAAGCATTCTTGAATTACAACCATTTAAGTTTGGATAGTGGTTTTTATGTCTATGCGAAAAAAAGGGGGGTGACAGTATTATTCACTTGTAAGGTAAATAATTTTCGCCATTTGGCTATAAAGAATGTTTATCTTTACAGAAGGTTACTAATGTTTACTCTATTGAAGGTTGGCTTTTTGATAACAGACTGCACACTAGAGTCATCTTTATTCCTTGTTTTGCAATTTGTGGGCTTTAATAAATCTCACATTTGGTTAATTGATTTTGTTGTGAATGTACCCTATGTTGCACCCTGACCCCAGTCCACCTAGGGGCATAACATTACTCAATTTTCATGCAATTCACTTCATATAGAATAGCAGTAGATAAGTCAAGTCTCAACTCTTTTTAGATATATTGTTCATATGCAAAAATCCCATATGGAATGGTAATGCTTGAAAGTTCCGTTTTCTCCGATTTGAGGTACAGTGGAGAACTTTGGTTATACCAGCTGTAATCTTCTAGATAGAAAGGTCATCTTGGACTTAAATTGAAGCTTATAAACTTGGGAAGTTTTTCATGTACATTTGTGGCAGTTATATGTATAATAAAATGCTTGAAAATGATCATCTTTGATGACAATATGTCAGGCGGACAGACATTTTTTTGTCTTTTGGGGTATGTTGAGGGTGATATTTGACAGTAAAAAGGCAGCAATCCCCAGAATCTTTTTCTGCTAGTTTCCCCTATGTGTCAGGATACACTATGCAAAATTTTAGGGTTATATGACCATTTATGTAGCTGCAGTACCTTAATATTCACAATTACATAATTCCGCCAAAAGCTTTTCCCCAAAAGGGTGTTTTTTGGCCCCTGAGGCCAAACGGGGCCGAGTTGGGGGTGGTCATTATCAACTTGTGATGGCCCAAGGTATAAGATAATAGGAAATAATAGTGAAAAAAAGGTAGCAAAAAACATCCTGAGGAGTGGACCTGGCTCCCGGCCTAATATGGTCTGATGTGGAAAGTCAGAGCCGGTTCTACAAAAAAAACAGCAATCAAATTCATTCATGCAAATCTACCTGGGGAACACACACAAACATACCCATTGTGCCTCTGGCGTTCCATGCTGGAGTAATTTGGGCTGGGAGATCCCTCATATCCCATTAGGGAATGATGACGGCCCACTTCCTCAGCGTAGTCGAGGAGATCATCTGTGTCTGAAGAGTCTTCATCAGCCATCTGAGGAATATATACAGTATCAGATAATGGCAGCTCATGTCTGGATTTTCATTAAAGAAATACCCTTGTGAAAAAGAAGTGCGCTTGATTATACTGAATGTGCATGTGGCAAGCAGGACAGGGCCGAGAGCCTTGGGAGTGACGACAGTGCAAGACGAGAGAGGACCAGGCCTGGCCTTTATGTTGTGTTTTATTATGTTTATATGTGTCAGTCGTCCGTGAGGGCCTGCCGCTTTACTTTCGTTTTGTTGTTTGTTTAGTTTTGGATTAAAGATTATGTTGACCGTTTGCTGGTTCCCGCCTCCTTCCCTGAACTATGAACATTGTTACAGTGCACTTGTAGTGGGTTTTTTTTTTAACTGTACTTGCAGATAATTTAATATTAAAGCAGGGTTCTCAAGTCTCACGCATTGGCCGTGAGACACACGCAATTCAACCAGTTCACACGCTCACACGCCACACCGTGTGTTTCTCACGCTGAAAAGGCAATGCCAACCAAGTTGTCCTGCAAGCTTTAAAACGTTGTATACGAGGCGCAGGCACACAAAGTGAAGTTTCCTGCCGCCAGCGCGTCCGTATCTCGGCCAGATTGCGTTCGTTACTAGGCGTTAGAAGTCCGCGAACACACGGAAGTTGACGGACATATTCTCGGCCACCGCGACATCGCGCGAACACACGTCGTCATGGAGAATGTAAGTTGGAAGAAAGCTCGCCAAACATTTTTAGGCTAGCCTAGAACATTTAATATTTAGCCCCTCGTATACATTATTGATGCAGTCAAAAACTCTACAACTACTTTGCAACCAGGCCAGAAGCTTTGACTCAGTTTGGCTAGTTATCTGAAACTAAGGGAAATGTTATGGGAAGGAATTAAGATGTATTTCTTAATTTAATTTTAAATTATATATTATACTGTATTAATAGTCTTTCTAGTTACATTAAGGCAACGTGTATTAAAGCAGAGTGCCCTGGGTAATATTTTATATCCTGTCAAAACATACTAATCATAGCCTAATCGTTGCTATTGCATTTGTATTTTTCAAAGATGTCAGGGAAAAATGCAAAAAGATTTGTTTTTCCAAACTGTTTGAAACAATTTGTTATTTGTAATTTTGAAATATAACATTAAAGAGTAGGCCTATATTTGATGTGATGAATTGCTCTGTCATTTATCAGATTTACCAACTGCTATAATTTCAATTTGTGCTGGTTATTATGAACAATGGGTAAAATTGGGGGCGGGGATGGGAGGGGGCGGGGCTTCATTGGGGCTCCTCCCCTAACCGCATGTGATCTCACTCCAAGCTTTTGATCAAACTTGAGAACCCTGATTAAAGTGCCCCTATTATGCTATTTTAAAGTTTCCTAATGTTATTTTCGAGTCTCCTACAACAGGTTTACATGCATCAAAGGTAAAAAAACTGTTTTATTTCCTCATAATATACATTTGCACATCACCACACTTTTCAATGATTCTCAAACGACTCGCCAGATCTCTCTAAATCCCTCCTTTCCGCGAGCTACTCTGCTCTGATTGGCCAGACAGCTCAGTCTGTTGTGATTGGTCTATCGTGTACAGCACGCGTGCAGTAAGAACAACAGATAATCTGCATTAATAGACACAGTTTTAGGTAATAGTGGCCCACAAGTGATTAGCAGAAGTATTTCAGTAAGACAGTAATAACGTGATTAAGCCAGTTAGCAGGAGACCTACACAATATAAAACTCAAAACTAAAGTATTTTGAACACTGGCTGAAAATATATACATCAATAATTGTTCATATTTACAGGTTGTGATTCAAGTTAGTCCAAATTAACTGGGTACTGACCCAGTCGTCAGTAAAATGAAGTGAAAACAGCAAAAGTTTAGGATTATACTGCTGTGATATCGTGGTAAAGATTCATTTTAACCACTGATTCTTCACATGCTCGTCCTTGGGCAGTGTAAAAAAACTGGCTTTACCTTCACATTGTAGAGCACAGCTTCTTCTGGACATGATGCTATCCAGTATCCACAGGAATCAGCTGCCGGTTTGAGGTTCAAGTTTTACCTGGAGTCTGCGCGTGCAATAAGTGGACGGGCAAAATGCTAATGTTTCGTCTTGACGTCACAACGAAACGGCTTAGGATTCGTTTGAAAACCGATTCATTCCATTAACTCGGAGTCGACTCTTACTTTTGAGAGACAATAACTTTATATACGGTGCACTTTCAGATTTAAAATTTAGCAGGATGTTTTCATTCACTTAGAGCTCTGCTACACACTACATGAAAAGGTCATTTTCAAAAATCCATAATAGGGGCCCTTTAATTTCTAACTTCCAGATCAGCATTTTGTGTTTAATAGAGTAACAGACAGAGAATGACAAAACAATATTTGCAACTAACCCAAGGTCTGGAATAGCCTCTTCTCAGATCTCCTGAAGAAAAACAAGCAGTACACAGAATAAGTATGGTTTACCCATTAACATTTAGTTGGTTAAAGTCAAACATCACTTAACTTAAAGTGGTCATCGGATGCCCATTTTACACAAGTTGGTATGATTCTTTAGGGTCTTTATGTAAAGTTTGTAACATACTTTGGTTAAAATTCCTCAATGGTTGTGTAAAACAACACCCTTTTTACCTCCTCAAAAACAGCTCTGTTCACAGCGACCCGTTGCGGTGCATGTCTCTTTAAATGATAATGAGCAACTGCTAACCCCACCCCTCTCTCCCATGGGGCGTGTCGACACAAGACACGTAAAATGTTGCCTTGGCAGACAGTATACAATTGGCTGAGGGGAGAAATATGCTAATACGGGACAGTCCGTCAGTGGTCGTGGGCGGAGCATGAGCAATCTGACATCATATTGCTCAGAAAATCCAAACGGCCTGATTATTGAAAGTGTTTAGGCTTTTTGAGGATTAAAAAAAAGGAGTGAATGGATTTTTTTCATTGTATGGTGGTTGTGTCCACACACTGCAAAGACACATTTATATGCAAACACCATATAAAAGTGAATGTTGCATCCAATGACCCCTTTAATAAAGAGAGTTGCAAAGCTTATACAAATGAAGCATGAACAAATATGACAAATAGATTAATGGTTGGTGTTATAGCATTCATACCTGTTTCTCTTGATGGTTTTGATTGATGTGGTGAAAGACTCCTTAACCTGGAGTTTCTGTCAGAGACGGGTGAATAATGGGAAGAGGACCGTCCACCTGATCTCTGAACCTACCGTGGGCAAGTAAGCACAAACACACAGACGTTCAGGAACTGATGGCCCAGTTCCATAAACTTAGCCACCATGGTAAGACTGTCTTAAGAACTAGTTTGTCCCCCTGTAGTCAATAAGTTTATTCCTTAAAACTCATATTTGATCACCAAAAATGACATATTTAAAGTTTTTTCCTTGAAAAAAAAATGTGTCATGCCTTAAAATGCTTGAATGTAACTCTACACCCTTGCCTCATTTAGTATACTCGGCTCTATGAATATGGAAATTAGCCCCGCCTCCACTCACTCACATCTTCCTGCAAAGTTCAGCTTCAACCCTGATCATCACAACTGAACCAGCTAATTAATATCTTAAGACAGGAGCACTGTCAACCCGCCAAATGCGCCAACCTGCGTGTAGCACAGTCACTCCTACTTTGGCCGGTTGAATTTGATATATAATATATACATTTTTCCTCCCCTCATTAACTCGTTTCATTTGCTTTGGATGAATATTGTTGCTGCTACAACTTGAATTTTGGCGTGGGGTTGCATGTATTGCACATCAATTTACTCATTCCTTCAGATTTTATTCTCAAACCCAAAGTGATCGCACATAAAGCTGCCTCTGTACTAAATTGAGCTCTTTTCGCTGCTTATTGTGCTTAAACAGTCAAATTAGGGATGTCCCGATCCGATCACGCGATCGGAAATCGGGCCCGATCACGTGGTTTCAGACTCGATCGGAATCGGACGTTACCTCCCGATCAGGACTCGGATATATGTAAATTAGGGGTGTAATGGTACATGTATTCGTAATTATTGAACCGTTTCGGTACGCATACAAACCGAACGATTCCTTGGACCATTTTTCCTGCAGACAAAATCCGCGCTGGCGCGATCACCACAACATTGCGCAACATCAAATGGCAAACGCAATGAAAGCGGAAAGAACGGACCATTTCAGTTCGGACCAGCAACATCTGTGCAGCGCGAGATCAAGCGACACTGTGCTAAGAGATCCAGTGAAGAAAACATTTGAATTCGCCACTGAAGTAATAACATCGCTGCGAGATCTAGTGAGAAGCATTCACATTTCTCCGTTTATTAACCGTAGATCTCTATTAGATCAAACAGCGCTGACGTGGGAACCAGGAGAAACATTGTGTCGTGAATGAACATGGATTTAATGTTGCACTTCAAAACTCAAATATTATATAAATATATATTTAAATGTTATTTTTAATGTGATTACCAAAACAATATTTGTTCATCCTTCAAAGATTACCCCCATTTATAAACCTGAAAGTTTCAAGATGTAGGAAAACTCAAACTTATTTAAAAAATAGTTTTTCTTTTAATAAATAGGACATTTCTCTGGCATTTCTTTCTTTTTGCTGTATCGCATCGAACCGAACCGCAAATTTTGTGAACTGTTACACCCCTAATGTATATATATATTCTCATTTTTTATACACTTTTAAAACATTTTTATTTTTTTGTTTACATCCCTGCTGGGTATTTTAAGTTGAGGTGCTATTTGTTTTTATATTAGACTTTTTCTATATTTACTGTTGCACTAAAGTCCAAAAGTGAAGATTTTATGTTATTTATTACTTGATTGTTCAAGCAACCTCACAGAAGTGCTCTGTTTGTTAACAGAGTTGTTGAATGTTAAAATAAGGTGAATTAAATAAAATTTATTTATTTAATAAATTTCTTTATTCTTTTTTTATGTATTATATAAGTATCGGATCGGGACTCGGTATCGGTAGATACTCAAAATCAAATGACTCGGACTCGGACTCGAGGGCAAAAAAACCTGATCGGGACATCCCTAAGTCAAATACACACAAAATAATGTCAAAATATCAGTCTTGGCGAGTATTCACGTAAATAACGTCAGTCATTTTTAAAGTGAGTGTAAACAGTTGAGAAAGAAAACGCATGTGTAAGGCCACGTTCACACTGCAAGTCCTAATGCTCAATTCTAATTTTTTGCTCAGATCCGATTTTTTGATTGGCTGTTCACATAACCTTTTAAAATGTGACCTATATCTGATTGCAGTGTGAACTGTTTGAGGTTTCAAACTAACCGGCATACGCAAAAGAACAATAACAATGACATCAGACGCAGCACGCGGTTGCACTAAAGTTCGGGAGGTTATGGAGTAAGCATATTCGCATTTATTTCATAATGTTTGTGTAATGGAAACTTTTGCGGGTTGATGGTTGCAAATTCACTACAGAGATCTGTGTGGATGCGTAGACGAAGCCAGGAGTGGTGGGAATATGACGTGAATAGTTTCACTGAGACGCTGTTCTCCTGTGTCCCCGTTCTTCCATTTCGTGTGCAATTTTTTCAAAAACGGAGCGGTTACGGTAGGTCCTTCTAGCTTGAATTGAAGTATCTCCCCATATACTTAGATCTAACACCTCACTCTCATTGACTCGCTTCATCGCTGTTCTCCATATCTAGTCAAGTTTTTAATGTTAGGCTACTGTCTGTGTCTGTTGTGTCTAGGGCTTCGCCGGCGCATAATTGTGACAAATGTCGACGTAGATTGACGTAAAAGTCGCATCAAATCCGCCTTGATTGTTCACACTGCGGCCGCATTGAAAAAAATCAGATCTGGGTCTGATTCAGGACCACATATGTATGTGGTCTAAATCTGATTTGAAAAAATCAGATCTGGGCTAGATTTGAGTGTTCACACTACCTCTGAAGAAGTCTGACCTGGTCACTTGACCCCAAAAAAATCAGATTTGGGCCACTTTTGCCTGCAGTGTGAACGGGGCCTAACAGTATAATGGATCCGTGTGTCAGGCCTTAAAGGTACAGCAGCCTAATATATCTGCTGCCAAATTGTGAGATAATATTTAAAATTTATATATGGCAGTTTTTACCCCATGGTATCAATGTCAAAATTGTGGCCAGTGAACATGCTGAGTGGCTAGTATCTTTGGAAAACCACTACAACCTGTAATATTATAGTAATGTACCAACTGGGGTTCCCCATAGTATACAGAATTAGTTGAGACATCTGATACCTGATCTCTGTTGCGGTGTTCTCTCTGACTCCATGAAGCAGACGGGAAATGTCTTTGGGATGAGGTGATATCCTGTTTCCGTGACTTTTTTGAGGTTTTCCTTATTGCCCTCTAAAGCAAATAAAACATCTTCCAAGTTCTTGCAATCAATATTATAAAGCAATACAGCTAAAATCGTTCTTCCATTTCAAAATCTGTATTTTTACCACAGGAAGACTCAGGAAGCCATTGTTACTGGAGATGTCACTGATTGTCGTCTTTGTGGAGAACTCTAATCTTGGAGAGATACCCTGAGATGAATCAATGAATATAAAGACAGATTTCCCATTTTAGTAATGCACAATAATCCATTATTGGTGTTGGTAAGCAAATAAATTCAATCAGTATGGTAAATAAATAAGCACTTACAGGAAAATTGGGATGGCGTGTCATTAATACCTCTCTCTCTACTCCAGAGAAAGATGGGACCAGCTTTGGCTCTGGGAAAAGAAAACTTCGAGCATCTTCTTCAAAACTGGCCAATATTTCTCCAGCTGTAAAAGAGCAATAAAAAGCAAATAGAGATTCAACTGTGGTCAGCAATCTGCAAAATGATTAATTTAGTAATATTTGAGAAATAATATCAGTTGTACCTGGTGGAATCAACTGAATGAGTTCTATTTTCACTGGTTCACCTGGGAAAGAGAAATACACTTTAATATCCCTTGTGAAAAGTAGTGTGCTTCATTGAACTGAATGTGCACTTGTGTGTACTTGAATTTTAATCTTAAAAATATACTTTTAAAAGCTGTACTTTCAGATAATATTAATGAAATAAAAGGCCATTTAAAGAGAGTACACTTTCATGACTATGTTTCTTAACACTCTTAAGTACACTTTGAAAGAAGAAGAAAGTCATATACACCTAAGGCTTGAGGGTTAGTAAATTGTGGGATAATTTTTGGGTGAACTATCCCTTTAAGTCCTACTTAAGTGGGTAAAAAGAAGCAGTCTAAAGTTCAGCTAATGGAATTTTATATAAATGTATACTATAATGTACATTATGACATGCTATTATAAAGTGTCAGAAAACGTTACATTTAGTTCACACTTAAGCATTTTATTTCTGTAATGAGTACTCTTTTTAAAACTATGTTTAAGTGTACTTCTTTTTCACAAGGAAAGGCAGAGGAGAATTACCAAGATGAAGGAGTAAAGGAGGAGGGAGGAGAGAGAATAAACGCAGCAGCTCACTCACACTGCAGGAGTTCTGCTATTGCTGCAGGATCGGTGGAGTCATTCAGGATCTACAAGAAAAAAAGACGGGAGTTTACAAAACAGTTAGATGTAACTCTTTTTTTTAAACTTTATTTAAAATAGATAGAATGGAAAATCACACCACCTTTTCAAACCTTATTTTCTCCCGAATCAATAATGGAAACACTGCAGGAAGACATTCTGACTTCCTGTATTGATTCATAAGACTCACACTGAGGTAAACATCATCTTTGGCTGGTAGATGCACACCTGGACAGGTTATCTAAAATACAAGTATGATAAAACTCTCCATATTTCCAGGTAACAGAAAGACACACAACAGTCTGCACTGCATAACCTATATACTGTGGCCATTCACTTAGGAATAGTTCACCCAACAATGAAAATTTTGTCATCATTTACTCATGAATGGGTACCGTCAACTGTCTGGTTAGGTTACCAACATAATTTAAAATATATTATTTCGTGTTCAACAGAAGAAAGAAAATCATACAGGTTTTGGAACAACTTGAGGGTGAGAAACGTTAAATAGTGACAGAATTTTTATTTTTGGGTGAACTATACCTTTAAGTACGTTAGCGGTACAGCGTTCTAATATTATCCACAGTTATCTTACTAAGATATTTATCGAAAAATCCTCACCGCCCTCAAATGAAGTTCAACGATCACTTTAACTGCTTTGTGGGACATTCTGTGCTTTGCTGTTACCGCTAGCGAACTGTTATTTTCCAGAGATCATTTATGGTCAATCCAGGAGAGCGTCGCGTTTCCATGGCATCATGTGCACAGGGAAATCCAGCCCATTTCCGCGATTCAATTTATTCGAACAGTTCATTTCAATGAACCGGTTCAGGTTCAAACACAACCCAGTGATTCTTTTACGTCACGACGAAATGTCATCATGATGCATGCCCTCATTATTATTATAGTTAAGAGTGTAAATGTAATTTAATGCGTCTCAGTTCAAATTGTTGCTATTTTCAGCTCATAAAAACATAGTTTTGTTAAACATAAATATAATTCAAACTCACCCAAAACATTACTAAAATTCATTTTAAATGTCTTTGTATGCATAAAGCTTTTTAAGATGGGTATTTTAAAGATGATATTAATAACTACGTTTTCTTCGTGACATTTCTGCTATTCGTTCATAAACAAGGATTTGACTATAACAATGGTTATTCTTCAAGTATAATTCATTGTCATTCGTGAATCGGTGCAACAGATGAAAATTCTTCTCAAAGTAACGCTTTGCTTACGAGGAGGACTTTTATTTTGAAGCAGATACTAACCGGAAATCAGAAGAGACAAAAAAAAAGTCGTAGCTGGTCGGGCTCTATGGTCGGGCTTATCAAAACTTATGTTGAGAATTGTGAAACCATGTTTTGTTACTGTGAAGTAAAATTATGATTTGGTCATATCGCCCATCCATATTCTTTGCTAAATAGCAAAAAAAAAGTCCCCAAAGTTTTACATACAGTATGAATTTTTTAAGTGTTCACCACAAGTAATAGACTACATTGTAACCTGGTCAGAAATAAGTATATAAATGGCTGCTATTTTGCATAAGTTTATTTGTAATTGCCAGCAAGAAATAATGACAGAGGGCAGAGATAATGTTAGGAATTAAAAGTCAGTAGGCCCATGTAGTTTCTTCATTCACTGTGACCTACAGTGCTTAGCATAAGTGAACACACCCATGCTAAAGTTAACTAAAACATCATCTCTTGGAAATTGATATTAATACCTTAATTAAAAAAAAATGAGGAAGAGATTGGCATGGGGAACTTTCCATAAGATCATCTCTCAATGCAAATCAAACCAGCTATAAGGCTAACTGAAATAAAACCAAGCCAATCTCTAGGTATGGTGAAGGGTATGTGATGATGTGCACTTTATCAGGATGTATAATATCCTGGATCCATGAAATAACTGGCCTTTAAAAATAAAAATCTGCCTGCCTCTATGGGAATTTAACATAGGGGTGTCCTGACTTATGCCCCCTGTATTTTAAGGAAGAACATTTATTTATTTGTGATAAATTATTCATTCACAAAGAAAATTGGTGTCCTTAAAGATTGGATTTTTCCTCATTTTTTTAATTAAGGCATTAAGATCAATTTCCAAAATATGATTTTTTTATTCCTCTTTTCAGTCAACTGTAGCATGGGTGTGTTCATTTATGCTAAGCACTGTATACCTGTACTGGATGGCCAATTTCACATGTATTTTGTATATTTTCAAAATACTGTATTTGTATTTAAATACATTTTTCCACACAGTATTTTAAATACATTTCCATGTATTTATGCCCATCTCTGTACATCCCTTACTCAATCATTTGTCCTCTGACAACCAGGAAATCTGAATTTACCATTTACTGAATATATATATATATATATATATACACTCACCGGCCACTTTATTAGGTACCCCATGCTAGTAACGGGTTGGACCCCCTTTTGCCTTCAGAACTGCCTCAATTCTTCGTGGCATAGATTCAACAAGGTGCTGGAAGCATTCCTCAGGGAGTTTGGTCCATATTGACATGATGGCATCACACAGTTGCCGCAGATTTGTCGGCTGCACATCCATGATGCGAATCTCCCGTTCCACCACATCCCAAAGATGCTCTATTGGGTTGAGATCTGGTGACTGTGGAGGCCATTTTAGTACAGTGAAATCATTGTCATGTTCAAGAAACCAATTTGAAATGATTAGAGCTTTGTGACATGGTGGAAGTAGCCATCAGAGGATGGGTACATGGTGGCCATAAAGGGATGGACATGGTCAGAAACAATGCTCAGGTAGGCCGTGGCATTTAAACGATGCCCAATTGGCACTAAGGGGCCTAAAGTGTGCCAGGAAAACATCCCCCACACCATTACACCACCAGCCTGCACAGTGGTAACAAGGCATGATGGTTCCATGTTCTCATTCTGTTTACGCCAAATTCTGACTCTAACATCTGAATGTCTCAACAGAAATCGAGACTCATCAGACCAGGCAACATTTTTCCAGTCTTCAACTGTTCAATTTTGGTGAGCTCTTGCAAATTGTAGCCTCTTTTTCCTATTTGTAGTGGAGATGAGTGGTACCCGGTGGAGTCTTCTGCTGTTGTAGCCCATCCGCCTCAAGGTTGTGCGTGTTGTGGCTTCACAAATGCTTTGCTGCATACCTCGGTTGTAACGAGTGGTTATTTCAGTCACTGTTGCCCTTCTATCAGCTCGAACCAGTCTGGCCATTCTCCTCTGACCTCTGGCATCAACAAGGCATTTCCGCCCACAGAACTGCCGCTCACTGGATGTTTTTTCTTTTACCATTCTCTGTAAACCCTAGAGATGGTTGTGCGTGAAAATCCCAGTAGATTAGCAGTTTCTGAAATACTCAGACCAGCCCTTCTGGCACCAACAATCATGCCACGTTCAAAGTCACTCAAATCAACTTTCTTCCCCATACTGATGCTCGGTTTGAACTGCAGGTGATTGTCTTGACCATGTCTACATGCCTAAATGCACTGAGTTGCCGCCATGTGATTGGCTGCTTAGAAATTAAGTGTTAACGAGCAGTTGGACAGGTGTACCTAATAAAGTGGCCGGTGAGTGTATATATATATATATATAGAAAGGAAACAAGCAAGATCCTCTATTATAATTGTGGACAGGCAGAGTTATTATTTGCAATGTTTAATTGTTGCACAGCTGTTTCCCTCTGAGCCTCCATATTAAGCATAACGCTTTGTTTACTTTACCAGATGGTGAGATACAATGACGACAGACAAATTTTGCGTGCGTTTGGTTTATATGGTCATCGTCAAGGGTACCAGAAATACAGCTGAATACCAAGATAAGAAAAAACAAAACTGCAAATAAAACTTGCACTTTAGATTTACAACTTAAAATAAATCTAACCAGCTACATTTTAGGTACAATAATAAAAGTAAATCAAAGTAATACACTTTTGTGCGAATTCTCAACTGACTGACCAGCGAGTGCTGGACTGCACATGCTAGTTAGAAACCATCTAGAAAGAGCAAACATTCGTTTATGGTCAGAAACATTAAAAATGAGCATGACTAGGAAACAAAAGCTGAAATCAATTCAAAATGTAACAGTATCAGTGACATTTTCATTGTATTAGAGCTAGTGCCTGACAGTTTTGTAAGACACCATTTTGTAGGAATAACGAAAAATGGAAAAACTACTTCTTGGTAAATTCTAATAAACATCAGAAATAAAAGGATAAAAACATGAAAGGAGATATGATCGAATTAAAGCAAAAGTGCATCTGTTACTTCAGTTCTGAGAGCTCTAGGCTACCAGAATGATGTCTATATACTGTTTTAAACGGAAGAAAGAGGAGGGTGAGGTTAATTTCCCATTTGGCTCTATTCTCCATACACACTCTCGTCACTGTAGGCGATGTAAAGGAAGAAATCTTCTTCATGATGTTCCTGTGTGCGAGAACATGAAATTATCAGAGGAACAAAATAAAACGACTTGGATATTGATGAAGAAAGAGTGAAATACCTGGTACAACTGGCCCATGGTGGCAGAGGTAGGGGGAATGACATTGTTTACGAAGAAGAAGAGAGCATCCTCGGCTCTCAGGTGGATTCGTTTTCGGATGAGAAAGTAAAACTGGCCCACTACAAAAAAAAAAAAAAAAATCCATAATATAAAACACTATAGAAAGAAAAACATACTTGACAGTGCCCCTATAATGCTTTATCAGATATTACCTTTCATGTAGTGTGTTATATGGCTGTTAGTGAATGTAAAAGACAAAGTTTTCAAGATTAAAGTGCACGATAAATGGAGTTATTGTCTCCCAAATGAATGAACGGATTTTGAACTGCCTCAAATGTGCCGTCAATATTTCCAGTCTTACTTTCTGCACGAACCTACGTAGGATTTTAACACGCGTGCATACCACCAGCCTATGGTCTTCATTGGCTGCCCACGAACGACATCTACTTTGCCCCGGTCCTCAAACACTATACTTGTAGCTGAGACTGGAAGAGTTTGGTTAATGTTGTTGACATGTTGAGAACACGCTGTTTTCTGCGCTGTGAAAGCAGATCCACTTTGCATGCACTTCAAAAAAAAAAAGAAAAGAGGACTCGGGTTCAAATTGATATGGTAAACCTGACGCCATCGTTACGGTTCGTGTCATTGAGTATCAAGCGCTGAAGAAGATCCAGAGCTGAAATTCAGTTATGGCAATTGATGCTTCGTTTCCGACAAGCACTGTAAGCGGTCGACTAATCACAACAGATTGGACCATCTGACCAATCAGAGAGGAGTAGGCTCTTGAAAAGGAGGAGTTTAGAGAGACTGAATCCTTTATCGAACCGTTTCAGACACTGTGAGAAAAGAGGTGATGCTGCAGTGTATATTATGAGACAATTACAGTGTTTTTTGACCTTGGATGCATGTAAACCTATTGTATGTAGGAGACTCCAAAACAAAATTAGGAACCTTTAGAATAGCATAATAGGGGCACTTTAATAAGTACTTTTACTATGACAACATAGAAAAGCTCAACAAAAATGTTGAAGCAATCACTGACATTGTAAATGAACATCCTTTTAAAAAAAAATTAGAGACATAAAACGACTTACCCGTCAGGTCAGAGGGGACCAGGTATTTCTTCTTGTCTAGGTCACCTATTCTGGCTTTAGGAGCTTTTTCCACAATTACCTAGTACAGAATGAAATAAACACTTTTTTTAGTGTAGAAATTGTAGAGTTGGTAGAGTTAACTGAGCATTATATGAAACTGAATGATGATTCACTTTCGCACCGTACATATTTCAAATCATGGGTGATTTTTGACTTTGTGCAAAGAGGATCTGAGAAAAGCTGTGCTGTTTTTGATAATTAGGTTGCAGATGAGAAACAAGATAACTATACAAAACACTTTTGGACCCAAGACTATTTAAGACCGCTATGTTGCTACTCAGAAAATGATTCATGATTTTTTTCAAATAAAAATGTCCATTCCAGGTCCAGAAGTTATTCAGGGCTTGGGGGGAAATACCACCGGACAGTAACAATAGTAGCAATTCTTATGTTAGCAAACATAACATTAGCAGTCATGACTCTTCAGACAATGTGACCTGTACCCACCAGAAAGCATTAACTAACTCAGATGTGAGTCTTGTTGAATGTGTAGCTGCATTTTTGTTTTGTTTTATAAAAATGGTTTCCTCAAAATGAGTGCTTCCTCAAAAGTTATTTTAAGAGTTTCTAAGATATGCAATTTGAAAAAAGAACAACAAAAAAACGGAACTTAATTCGATGAGTCTAAGTGGTAAAAAAAAAGTCAAAAATTCATGGCTGTTCACCCATAGGAAATGAAAGAAACGCAGAGCAATTTTCTAACATGTGTTGAATAAAATCTATATATCAGCCACAATGTTGAACAAGCACAGACATAAGCAATGAGACTATACAACATCTAGAATACAAAAGATTCAAATGACCACGAACAGACAATGTGTGAACTTTTTCAAAAAAGCTTAACCATTACAACGGAAAAATCAAATTCTATCAGGACATTACAGAGCTGTAAAACGTAGACACGGTGTTATATTGTGTACAATACTAAAGCTACTTTTATAGTCATGTTGATTTTAGAATTATCAGTCATATTTGGGCACTTAAAACAATTGATTAATTTGAACCAGATATAAAATGACTTTTTTATGCTACAAAACACCACCTCATTTTGGTTGTAAGTGATCTAAACAAAAGGAATATAATGAAATCGATATTAAAATTATTTCAAAATTTAATCTTTAGGGGATTGCTTGTTTTGTTGTTTTACTGGCTTGGTTATAAGGTAAACAAAGTCAACCTTCTGAATGTAAACATGTTGACTGTATAGGACATCGAGGCTATTTTAAGATTCACCACTTCAACATGGTCCTGAATGTATTATTTTACCCATAAACAACATTTAAATAAGTTCATACACACCGCATTACACTTAATTAAGTTCAAGCTTTTCATAAAGCCTTGCGGATTAAAGCAGATGAGACCATAAAAAAAAAAACGAACTGAATGAATGTTGAACTGTAACTTACGCCTTTTAAAGAAGATTTTGAAAAAAGTGATTTTGATTCATATAACCGTTCAAATACGCTATTAACAGGCAAAACATGGGTAGACTATTCATTTTAATAATAATACAGAATTTCAGATGATACATAAACGTGGCCTTCAGCAGTTTCGCCCTTCACGTGCTACTGAAGCTAAAGCTGTTTTTGTTCGCGTAACTTATGCTTAGAAAGAACGAATGAACACAAGATGAGTTTGTTTGGTTACGTTCAAATAATGTATATCAATAACGCCTTTCACTTTTAACTGGTTTGTTGTGGTTCCCTATAACGCGAGCTTCTGTTTACACATTTCAAACGATACAAACCGACTTACAGGAACCCTGTCTGGATATTTCTTCCTGATTTTCTCTCCCTCTGATCGCCTCTTCTCAAAAGGATGCTCTTCTTTGTATTGAAACTTCATGGTTGCTAAAGGAAGAGTAAATATGTCTCGGAAACACACAGAAGTGTCAGAAATGTAACCAACGCTTCTCTCATACACAGCTGCAAATGCTTTTCCTTCAGCGCATTAATACGGGCACACTATATTTACATTATTTTTGTCAACTCAGACTCGTATTCTGAAAACCACGCATCCTGAAAACTATTACTATTATTTAAAGTATTTGATGCAAGACTTATTGAAGGTGCTCGATTGTTACTAAAGTGTTTTCTGACATTTCGTTGTTATTTGCAAGGTAGGGACTACTTTCTTGGTTGTACACACTGTAGAATTGTCAAGCGGTGCTCCGGTCAGTCATATGACTATCTGCCCTCACTTCCGGTATTCAAAGTGACGCAGGGGTGTTTGCAAACGGTCATTTATCCATGACCTTTTTACAGTCTATGTCCATGACTGAATAAATAAATAACAATTTATATTAATCGCTCTTAACGTCAGCAACCTGTTCTCTTTGCTTGTGAAAACTTAACATAAAAAAAAAATGTGTTACAGGCTGGCTACGGCCATGGTTACAGCATTATTACACTGCAAAGATATATAGCAGCTAATCGGTTTTTGTCGTGTCCACTAAAAATACTTGAATTCCCTCAAAAATTTAATCAAGTTTATGCTTAAAAAAATAAATAAAAATGGCAGTCAAGTATAGTGACTAAAAATTCTTATCGTACAAAGTTTTAATTATCTCTCTCTTTATACACACACATATATATCTTGACCAGTGATTTGTGATTAAGATGGTAGACACTAAATATCTTAATTTTTGGCTTAGCCCATTTTTTTCAGATTTTGCCTAGGAGAGAGTGAGTGTGTGTACACGCATAAATAAATACATATATATGCTACTTATATATATTTGTAAAAAAAATCTTCTTTAAAGGTTTTTTTTTTTTGGTGCAGCAAAAGGGTAGAAGACATTTGTTGCCTACTTCCAAAATTTTGCAGAGTACACCATTAATAAGACAGTAAAAGGAAACTGAACCCAGAATTTGAGATAGTGACACGTTTTTATTAGTAACGTGCACAGGTCTATGGACTCCTTGTGTCCCAGGAAGCTGCCTTGAGACATAACAAGTGTTTGATTGATGAGAACAGAATTGACATTATCTGACAGGTGCACAGAGAAACCAACAAGGCCTTGAGTAAAAAAAAGGTGTCTTTTGCTCAGTCAACTCTCCAATACAATGAAGTACAAGTTTTATAAATTCAAGTCTTGTCATTATTACATTTTCAGGAAAGAAAAAAAAATTGTAAAAAGGCGCCCAAGTGGTAGGATTTCAAAACCAACCACATACATTCTTGTAGAGAAGAATTAGAGCAGAAAGGCTTAAAATCTGTCAATTAGCTTCTTCAAAGCACATATTCTATTACATCCTCCCTGATAATCATGATAAATTCATTTACTGCCAAAAGTAAAACAGGATGACAATTGACCAGATTAAAAAAAAGAATTTGCTGCAGAATATGGATAATACTATCTTCCACATTCTGAATTGGGACAGGCCTACCATACAGAAGTCGTTAAAACCCATGTTTTCCAAGACAGTACCTCAATAATAGCATACACAACTCTACAACAATAACCCCCAACTGGTCTGTGTCATCAATAGTTTTTCCAGTGAACTCTATTAGATGTGCAGAGTGTCTGTGGCTTTTTCTAGCCAGTCTGTTTAGTAGATCTCCGTTTGCACCACCTTTAGAAGTGAGGTATGACGTCCCAAACTGGAATTGAAGACGCAAGTCATGAAAAGGTCTGTTTTTATCTCGTTTCAGTCTCCAGTCACTCCATATCTTCAAATAATTAAAAAGAAAAACAGCAGATGTCCTCATACACACATAGCACAAACATAACTCGCACACGATCAGCATAGGTAGAACTGTAAGGCAGAGACTCCATTCTGAAGAAGGGAAAAAAAACATAAGCAAAAAAGCTTCCTGAAACATCCTAAAGTTTGCCTTTTCCATCCCCTTTGAGTTCAGGATCGACTCTCCTCCTGATAGACCTCATGTAAGGCCGTTTTTGAAAGGCGATGAGTCAAGAGTCGAGGGAGAATGATCAGGCGGATGTCAGATAGGGAAGCAGTTCGACAAAACGAAACAAAAAAAAGAACGGACTTGAAGAAAGCCCTCGGTCGGATGATCACCAGAGTCGATGCTGGTGGAGATTTCTGCTCAGGACGGACCGTACATCTGCGGTGAACCTGAAGAGGGAACACATATTGAAGTGGTGCAATAAGATTTCAAGTGAACAGCATAAAAATTGTTCCATGTTTTAGTTACTTTTAAGATCCTTACCTTAGTGCATCCAGCATGGGCAGCAGGTTAAGAAGTGCTGTGTCACTGGGGTCACTAAACCATGACTTTATAGGTATTGCATTATCTATGGGTCAGAATAAAAGAAATGTAGAAAACAATTACACATTCAAACCAAACACGTTCTGGAGGAAAACCACTTTTCCCTCAGTAGACCTTTTATAATAAATGGATAATTCAATAAAAAAATGGGCTTTCAAGAAAACTTGATGTCTATACGGTAGAAAGGTGAAATAATTTCTGAAATTGGTGCTACCTGACTAGAGAAAACAAAGAAAAAAGGCTGTTATCTTCCCTTTTGCCAAATAGGTAGGAAAACTTAAATTTAACTGGTTGGAAACGGGCAATAACAAGTAGGAAAACACCCATAATGCACTGGGCATGTTGTCGTTCAAGGCCACTCCACGTCAGCTATTGGATAGGCTTGACCAGTCAAATACCGCTTTGCTTGAGTAGGAAATACTTCTTAGCAAACTTTTAGACACAACAGTGTTGACTTGTATTGTTCCTGGGTGCAAAAATGCAAAGAATAAACGTTTAGCGGAAGCAAGTAATTTTTGGTTTCCAGTGAAGGATCCAGAGTGTTGCAAAGAATAGGAAATATGGAGACGACGGGACACTGCGACGGGAAATCTGAAAAACCTCTGTGCTTGTAGTCTACATTTTAAACTGAATGACTATGAACACAGTGTTTTAGATGAAACAGAGGGGGGAAAAAAACAAAAGAAACCGCCATTTCATCCATTCATTTGGAAGAAGAGGAACGGGGAGCACCTTCCGCCAAACCAACCGAAACAAAATGCCGTCATGTAGGCTGTTGCCATAGTATTTTTACAATAATACTATTTAAAGAATAGATGAAGTACTATACATTTTTCAGTGATAAACCTACCCTTACAATAACAGATTTGTTAACAACCCTCTGTCGATCTGACTCTCAGTGGGCGTGGATACAAAAACATGGAAGTATAATCTGTAGTTTTGTCAAATGGACTTTTACTGACAAATAAACTGGAATTTCTCAGTCCAGGTAACACAGAGAAAAAGAAAAAACACTGTTCATTTATATATACTACCGTAATTGTACCAATACAAAGCAAGTTGAAAATCGGCAAACATAAATTTGAATCTATATCTATACATTTGTGACATTTATCATTTTTGGTCACATGGATTCGCTGCACTGACCAACAGAAATCTGCTTGGTATGAAAGTGACTTCATACATCGCTACACTATTGACAATTACAGTAGACAATGGACCTTTTTTTGTCAGTGAAATTTCTCTCATGTGACAACAAAAAAACATCAGAGCAGTAAAATGTGTTTTATTCAAGACCAAGCTATTTATTTATTGATCAGTTCTTTCTAAAGTGATGTTTAAATTGGTATTGATTGCTGTTTTTCTATTTAGTCATTTACTTTCCATCCTAAAGTTCAGATGTTCATTATATGTATGTGTATGATCAATTTCAACTTCAAAAGTCAACTTTATAATGTACTTCCATAATGTAATGCATTTCAGAGTAAAATTCATTAAAAAAAAATAAATAGGGGAATTCATCAGGAATTGTTTGGATTCTAAAAGTTATCTGTACATGACTATATAATATGATATATAAATCCTATATATATGATATTAAATCCTGTTTTTGCATATGGCATACATTACTGTGATGCTGAACATGCTAAACACGGTGAGGCAGAAATGGCCTAAAGTACACAACCACAGATATCATGCAGTGAGACCAGCTGGGCAACTGCTCGCACACAAGTTAATCCTGCAAAGGAAGCAGTGCAAACTACAGCGCGTGGTTGAAATCACGTTATAGTCTTACCTGGATGACTGCGATATGCCCCTGGCGAGTTGTCAAGAATGACTACACTTGATAAGTCATCATGTACAACGGACAGGTCTTTAATATAACTACCTGAATCCAGTGTACAGTGCTGCACAAGATAAAGAAACGGAGAGTATTGTTGAAATATATCCTTGACTAATTTCTGCCTTTTCCATATTTCTCATAGGAAAGGTTTAAGAACAATGAAATGTAAAGAGTTTCAGTGGTTACCTGTCTGTAGTATCTTCTTTTTAGGATTCCCTTGTTGTTATCCAGCTTATCAGCTACTGCAGAGCCATAGATCTCCATACTAGCAGTGAAAACTACTAACTCATACCACTGACTGACCACCTCTAAGAAGAAGTCGACATGCGGCCTTTTATGTACAAAGAATCTGACTGGGTGTTTGTCTATTACCACCTGAAAAAAATGACAGTTTACATGAGAAAATGAAAGAGACATTTGGGTGAAAATAACAGTTATTCATGATTAATCGAGAAGGATTTTAATAATATTAATAATCGGGGCTGTACAGTGCAACATACATGTCACACATGCTACGAAAAATTGTTCTGCACGATGAAAACTTACCACAGCGACACGTGTGTAAGACAGACCTGTTTGTTTGTATGATGCGAGTTTGTTGTGTGAAAAAATTTTTTTCCCACTCATGCGCTGCAGCTTTCATAGTGATGAAACGAGAGCCATTTCGTGCACATCACGTTATATAAATTCATTCGCGCAACGAAGTAGCTACTGCTTAAAGTTTACTGACACATTATTAGAGTGATAAACAAACATGCAGGATTGAGGAACAGCACAGAACATATTAACCGAAAAATAACTCAAAACGGTACATGTGCACTGACTCGAGCCTTGTTTTACTTTGACCTAGCATCGCTGACTTGCACCTCAGATCTGCTTATAGTTCACATGCTCGCAGTTTTACTATTTTCTGAAATGATGGAGATTTTTGGAAAAATAAATACTCTAACCAACAAAACGTAGTAGTGAGAAGTAGTTTGACAGAATCTAGTTTTTGTATTTATGGCTCTGTTTACACCTGGTATTAAGATGCGTTTTGGTCGATCGGATCAAAAGTGGACGACGCTAAATACAGGTGTAAAGGTCTAAAACGTTTAGAGCTTGTCCACTTTCGACCACTTCCAGGGGTAGTGAAAAACGCATTCAACCGGATTGCTTTTGTAGTGTTAACTACACGCTCATGTGGTCGAATGTGTTCGAACAGCCGCAAAGAAACGTCTACTCTCCGTCTACTGACCCGTCTACTGACCTAAACATTATGGGAAGTGTGATAGCCAGACAGGATTTAAACTTTGTCGGCTGGAGACCCAAGTTTGGTGTGAAGACGAAAAACGCACCAAGCACAATGTTCTCTCACCATTCCTGATTTCTAACACACACTGTGTTTGACGTGTTCTTGTGGCTGTCAGAGCAGGAAACGAAAGCTGATGCTCTCCGGATGTTTTTCAGTCATCCCCGGTCGCGTTCATATGTAAATTGCACGAGCTTAGTTTGTCCATTAGATTGAAAGGTCTGAAAAAAGACAATAGACCCTCCCCTCGGAGAAATCGGGACAGAAGTGGTTGAAAGTGAACAAAAGAGAAGGATTAAAACACCAGGTGTAAAACAGGAATGTGTCTCCCTCGCCTACTTGTGAGCCGATCGACCAAAACACATCTTAATACCAGGTGTAAACAGGGCCTATGTCAAGCATGTAGGGCTGTAGCGATAACCGCAATATTGCAATACTGACAAGCCAACCGCAGAGGAATGCAAGCAACCGTTATGTTCACGCCCTTCTTGTTTTACACTTCATGCATTTGTCATGAATGTTAAACAAGTTAATAAATATAACAAGAGTGCAAATGTATTTGTTTTATTAAGGGTGTATTCACACCAGGAAAGTCCAATAGTTCACTTGCTTTGGTCCGGACCAAATAATTTTTTTTTTTTGGGTACGGTTCGCTTTCACACTGCTCTTCTTGCAAGTGAACCAAAATTTGTAAACAAAACCACACGTGTGCTAAGGTCGTCCATTCATTGGACAAGGATTCTCAAGTAGGGAAATCAGGAAGTGCAAAAAAGGCTTATCGTAAATTAACGCAGCATCATCCTTGTATTGTAACTATCGTTACATTATATGAACTGCAAATGCTTTTTTTTTTGCATCTATGCGCGATTAGACTAAAGAGAACGCTCTGTATGTGAATGTCCTGATGCACACACTCATTCATTCCATTCCAATGATGCACACACGACGCGCAGAAAGACACGCAACAGATGTAATGTAGTAGGCTACAACAACAGATCACTTTCCCATAACGCAACTCCGACTACGGAAGCCTGTTAACTCAAAGGCGCAGTGCTTTCTTGCAATTGGGTCGGTTCATGTTTACACCGTAAACGAACCGTACCAGAGTTCGTTTGGAACCGTACCGAGACCACCTCTTCAGCTGGGTCTCGGTTCGGTTGTTTGGTCCGCACCCGAGTTCGATTGCTGTATTCACACCTGCCCAAAAGGTCCGCACCAAGGGGGGAAACGAACTAGAGTTCGATTCAATCGAACCAAACAAGGCAGGTGTGAAGACTCCGTGTACCATTGTGATTTGTAGATTTGGACTAAACAAGCCTAAACAGACAGCAAGTGAGAGAGATCGACTGACCGTGTGTGATTACCTGCGTCTTTCCTTCTTCAGATGAAAAAATGTATGTATTTCACAGATTATAATAAGATTAATAATAAAGATATTAGGAATTCAGATATATTATGTAAATATATTGAAGTATAATAGTGCAATATATAGCGCACTTAATAATTTTCCTGGGAAAATATGCTCATGAAAAATGGGCTCTTTGTTAAATATAGTTTTATGAGACCTCTATTCATATTTATTTCATTTACTTTGGTCCATAAACTCAAAAACAACAGAATAAATTATCACCCACTCCTAAACGGGGTTGATTGATAACATAATTAATTAGCATACATATATAGTATGCATGATGAACTATGGTTGTTTTCAGAAATGGTAACAGCCGTTTCATACTTGTGCTATAAATGTGTGGCCTGTGCTATAAAACTTTCAACATCTGTAGTAGCACCAGCTACAGCAATATTACAGCAGTGTTCAAAAAAAGTTAACGTACAGCCCTGATAATAATAGTCTATAATAATAATTATTATTATATTTTAATATGTAATATTTTAACATTTAATCGTTTTTTAGAATTTTAATAATTATTATAATTATTTTACTTTTATAATTTATAATATATAAAAAATTGCATTTATGATTTTAATAGTTTTTAATTTATTTTATCATTTTTAATATAAGAAAAATCTTTATTTTGTAAGAGCAACAAAGAGCAGCTGCTAGATAATGAACTATTACAGAGCCAAGCATAACTAGAAAAACGTAACCATAAATAGAAATTTCCATGAATTTCCCTGGAATGGGCTGGAATCACAATACCTGATATTTCCAGGTTTTTAATGAGCGTTGGTCTATAGATGTGCATTTTATAGTGCAAATTTAATGTACTCTGTAACAAAAATGTTTGATCTTACTTTGAGGATGAAGTCTGGCGGTGTACCAGGCCGTACTGTAGGTCTGAGGACTCCATCGTGATGCGAATGGATCAATGTCTCGTCAAGATCTAAAACTAGGATCTTTCGCTTCACGGTGTCTGAACATGAATACAAACACAAATTGACAGGTCAGTCAACGTATATGAAAAGACTTCACACAAACACAACACTGTCTCAATTCAACTGTCTCAAAGACAAGGTACACTCAGATTGGGCATGTTAAATCTCACCGGCAGCATTGTGTTGTCATTATAATAACGTCTAACTTGAGCAGAAGAAAAGATATACTCACTGAGTCGGTTTCTGGAAATGGGGGACAATGGTAAAATGTCATATCGCACTGTTTGATACTGGATTATCTACAACAGGAAGAAGACAAAACAGGAAACAGCCACCTCAGTACAACACAGTGCATGACACGCGTACATTGCAGCAGAGGACATTGTGTGCACACCTTTTACAGTTTATTTAGCAAGATATAATGGTTTTAATGGAACATCTAGGCTTACATTTATTAACTCTGAACTTGTCAGAACTCACTAGTCTCTAACGACAAGTGAATAAAGACCATTTAATAATCACATGAAAGCACAATAAAAAAAGCTCGTCTATAACTGTTGAAGCAGGTGGAACTTTACATTATCCAGAATTAATTTTTTTTTTTAAATAAAGTAAATTTACTAATACAGGACCATTCCAAGAACTACTGTTGACTATCTATCTATCCATCCATTCATTCATTCAATATTTCTTATCTATCTATCTCTCATATTTTTCTTATTTTTTTCCCCCCTTCAAAATAGTTTTGGTGAACTTTAAATTTATAACTGTTAATCCCATGTACTTAATTTTTGTTATTAATATTTTTTAATATTTGTGTTTATATTTATTTTATTTAAAAAAAGCTATATTTAATTAAATATTACTATTAAGAATTGGCATTAGGGCGCTTCTGCTCTCCATATTCAAGATTGGGAAACAAAAATAATAATAAAATAAATTAAAAACATGTCTAGGCCCAGAAATTGACAATTTAGCCGTTAATACAGGGTTTGCGTGAGCATGAGAACCCTAAATTAACTTAAGAGGTGTCCTGGACTTGCCTTATTTCACAACTGGTCAATTAGCCGCTTACTCAAGTACGCAACCTTCAGGAATTGAACTGAGCTCAAACTCAGATCACTGTCGCTTTAAGAGGTCCGAGACCCTCTGCTTCAGTCCAGCACTCACCACAATGTGGATACTCTTCCTCTCTTTCTCCAAATCCCTCTCTTCTGAGCTATCTTTAGCTCTCCCAGCTGTCTAAAAGTGTCAGAGGAACTTCGGAGAGAACAGCCAAGCGAAACTGCCAGGGTGACTTTGAAAAGGGGGCTGTTTATTCCCAACTTGCATTAGGCCTCAATAAGGACTCATTCATAATATCAGGTCAAGTTGAACCGACCCGATGCTTGCATGACTGTAAAGCATGTTCAGAGAAGTGTCCGCTACTCCGGCACCCATATAAGAGTCCCAGACGAGTAATACTTCTATAATTGCGTCTTAATGATCATCTTAAAGATTATTATACAACTGGCTCGCCAAAGCCTGTTGTGCACAGGGGGATTACAGCCTATTTTCCTAGCCAAAGTGTTTACATACGCTGAGCTAAAGCATGTGACTCGTTTATCAGCTACTTCTTAAAAACAAAAATCTACTGGATATTCACATATTGTTATTAGTATATTATGTTATAAATTGTGAATCCTCTATTTTTATAAATATTATTAAAAATTATTTTTGATTTATCCATCTAACCCTGATCATTATTGCTTTAGGCTCACGGTAAAATATCATATACATTTTAGTTTAAGGTTCTTTCTCTTAAACTTATTTTAATTCGGGGGTTTTTAATGGGTCGTTCAACTATTTAAGTTTTTCCATCAAATATTTATATTTTATTTAAGCTTGATTTTAATTGACAAAATCTTGTTTTCAATAGTTTTAGTAAAAACAACACTGGTTGCAAATAATTAAAGTTATTTCAAAATCATTACTGCTTTAGATGCATAGTGAAATGTCATATAATTTTTGAACTTCTTGAAGAAAAAAAAACTAATTTTGGTGTCAAGTCTTATTTTACACTGATGGTACATGTTCGGCTGTTTATTAACACTTTACGCCCAAAGTAAAGTGTCACATTTACCAATTTAAGAAGTTGACAAATCAGCTGTCATTAGTTTGTAAATGTCAGTGTGTTTAATGGAATCAGTGTAACACGTTATTCTTCATAACCAGCAAACAAGTTGTGCAGTTACCAACTAAATAAACTGTCTTAGTGGACATGTGTCTCTCTAATGAATCTCAGACAACTTTCACAGAATAAACATGGGTAACACTTTATTTTAATGTGTCCCTGTTACTGTGTAATTACACATTTAAGTACTGAGTAATAGTAATTAACTACATGTACTTACTATAGGGTTAGGGTAGGATTAGGATTTGATTTAGGGTTAGCTGCATGTAATTATCCCTAATTTATAGTTACTAGCCTATAGTAAATATATGTAACGTGTAACAAGGACACATTCAAATGGTGTTACCTAAACATGAAATAAAAAGCCACTGGCTACTTTATTAACATCTAGGAGATTGAGAATGATTTACAAACCTATGTTTCCAGACAGGTGTCTGTTTCCCCTTCAGACACCTGCATGAAAGTTCAGTGCCAGGTCATGAAACAAAAGTTGCTCAAACATGAAAAGGACACTCACCGTTCGTATGTGCTTCCTGAGGATGTATAAAAAGAAGCTCCACAGCCTGGATGTCACGCCGAGGAAAGTGCGCACACCGAGCAGACATTGGCGGGTCTTTAGCATGTCAACCATAACACCAGAGTCCGTGAGGTGTGATTTACACCGCTGACAAGAGCAACACAACACACCTGTGGAAATAAGATCCTGCCAACCATTCACAACTTCACACGTCTTGATATGATTCAAATAAACGAGTGAAGGGTGCTGAAGTGCAGTTTTTACAAAAAAGTGCGTGGGTTATATATCACTTGGTGAATGTCTTTATCTTTAGAGAGGTAGTTGCTCTGTCCGGCTCCTTCAAATGCTCGCTGGCTAAGATGGTCAAACAAACTGGAGTGTCGAACAAATGTCTCCGTTCTGCCAAAAGCCACGCGAAGTGCGACTGTCCATCTGCTGCAACATTAAAACCAATATGCGTATTCCGCTTCTTTTTGATAATCTTCGAGAAAGCGAAAAGAAAAAGCGTACAATTTCTCAGCGCCGAGAACAGTTTAAAGCCAATACGGTAGAGCAACACGGGCCGCCATCGCTTCCCTGACGTCACTTCCGCGAAGAGACAAAGTTTGTGCTCACGTGGCCGCGGCGTTTTTCAAAAAGTCTTTTGAGTTCCCATTCAGTGTTCACCAAACCGTAGGAAGCTTCCACCATTTTACTGTCATTTAATTAATTTCACTGATGACAGTGGTGAAATAAAAAACAAGTCCTTATTTTTTTTTTATATTATTAAAATGAACAAACAAAAGATTTAGTGATGAGATTTCGATTCATCCAAAAGATTACTTCAGAAGTCACCATGAAATCAAAATGAAACATTCTTTTCAAAATATTGGAGTATTTATTATAAATAATCCATGCACATCCATTTTTTAGCCGTATGCCTCAATTTCTGCTCAATCTGTAATCAAAATAACTTCATCTACTGGTCAAAATCGACTGGTGCGAGGGCGGGACAACCTGTCACTCACATGAGATCGACCAATAGCAAACCAGAACAATCCAACCATCCTTTCAATATCAAGCCCCTCCCTACATTATTTTCTTGTTCGAGAAGCCGTTTCTTACATTGTGTTACTCCAGTAGTAGTTGGAGACTACTACTAGTAGTTTTGATTTGTTATATTTCATCAGGCAAAAAACGCCCAATGTCTATTGTCAGTGTAACAATGTATGAAGCACAGCTCACACATAAACCACTTTCCAATCAAGCAGCTTTCTGTTGGTTAACTCACACATCAGATCTAGTAAACAGAAGCTCAAGCATGTTCACGTGACACGTGATAACCAATGAGGTTCATTCTCGTCTTACGCAGCACGTTTGAGCTTCCTCAAGAACCAACAAAGTTTGTTCTTGCAGGTCAAGCAGATTCAGTTGAGCTTCCGTTTATGTCCGCTGATCCATGTTTAAATGTGAATAAAAGCTTAAATTGAATCTGTTCATCATATAAAGCGATCGTGTCTCCTCAGAAAATTTGGACTAAACCACTAAATTCATATGGATTCGTTTTACAATCTCTTTATGACCTTTTTAAAGCGTCAAAGTGGTAGTTGCGTAGCTGTCAATGGAGGGACAGAAAGATCTCAGATTTCGTCAAAAAGATCTTCATTTGTGTTCAGAAGATGAACGCAAGTCTTATGGGTTTGGAACGACATGAGGGTGAGTAATTAATGAAAGAATTTTCATTTTAGGAGGGAAAAACCTTTAATAAGTCAAAAATGTGTACAATTTGTATGCATGTTAGACTTTCAATACAATTTTATTGATCATTTATTGTACTTTATTTTGTTTGGAGCATGTCTGACCTCACATGGCACAAAGTTTGGGTATTGTCCCATGAGCTTTGTTCAAGATCTCCGCCAACAAGTGAAAAGCTGCATGTCTACAACACATAAAAATCCCAGAATGATATAAACTGTACAAAATGAGCTTAGTAATGTGTCAAGAATAATCATAATTGGGCAATTATGCTTAAATATTTTCAAATCAGTGCTTGAAAATAAGTGCTTTTTATCCACAAATACAAAAACTGCATAACATTACTAAGAAGTTCATCAATTTATGTCAAAATAAAATCCTCAAACCTGGCCTTGTAATAGCTGAGAATAGACTGACTATTTGATTCATAATAAAATAAAGAATCATAAATAAATAATTTATAAAGATGGAGTTGACATTCCCAGATTTAGGATATGATGTGTCTTCATTCACACATCAAGATCATCATCTGGATCCTCCTCATCAAAGTCATCGTTGGCATCAGGCTCGTACATGATCCGTCCCGAGCCAGGAGTCGGCCTCAGAAGAGCTGATTTTCTGGGATAGGGGGGGACAGATTGCACTGCAGCATGAAAGACTGAACTTCTCAGACATCAAAATTGTTCAGATCTTGGTGACACTTTATTTTACAGTTTCCTTGTTACATATTTTACATGTACCAACATAACAGTAAATAACTATAAAAGTAAATTATGCATAATTACATGTAACTAACCCTAAACCAAACCCTACTTTAACCCTACAGTAAGTATATGTTGTTAACTAATATGTATAGTCAAACTATAACAAGGGCACCTTAAAATAAAGTGTAACCCAGATGGCTGTTCATATACACAACAGCAGCGTTTTGGGGGCCTGAAACACAAACTTTTCAATACAGGTTTCAAAGTGTATGTTTTTTTTAAAAACGATACCGGTATCGTCTCCGTGTAAACTACAAGAATGCACATTTTTTAAAGCAGTGACATCATGCGCATGCGTATTACGTGTTCAGTCTATAACACTTTGTTTCTTTACAAAGTGACTTCGCTAATTACTGGCCTGGCAGAGCAGAATACAGCATTGTTTTTATGTTTTCGCAGATCCTTGTGAACGGGAATCATTTTGACAATGTTGATGTCTGTACGCAAAAAAACGCAAAGGAAAAACTTTTCCGTGTTTCGTACATCTTTGTCGTGTAAACATACCCCGAAATAGCTGCCCAAAAGCTGTTTCAAAGATGGTCGCCGAGTGAAATGACTTTGATTTTACTAATGTTGCCTTCATGTGCATCGGAAATTTCCTACTTCCCACTTCTGAAGTTGTGATTATGAGCTCGTCGCATTCAAGTGCTTTGTTGTCAGAAAGAACAGAAATCTTTATTAAATATCATTATGACTTCTTATTAAAGCCAAAATGATATTTAGCTTTCCATTCATTGACAACCAATTAAACATTCACCATGCAATCTAGATAGTCGGCTTGCTGACAATTCTAGAATAATGGTCAAATACAGGCTATTTTCTAATACAGCATGCTTCAAATGATTATTCATATACTGTAAAACTTCAAATAGTAGCCCGGGCTTTTATTTTCCCAAATCGTAGAACTGCACCGGCTTGTATTTGAGACAGGCGTCTATTAGAGACAGGCCTTTATAATTTAGTGTTGAGATGTTGTTCATTGAGTGTATAGCCATGTCTCTAATCTCTAAAAATCTCCAAATGCTCCACGTGAAACTGCGGTCTTCCGACCTTTTACTATCGCGTCAATTGATTTTGATTAATATGCGCGAGGGAGAGAGAGCAAGATCGCTCGTGTTGTTTGAAGACTTGAGAGTGCGCGCGCGCGGCCGGGGGCGCTCTCTCTCTCTGCTCGTCATTCTATTCTATATCACACACCGATCAAAAAAGGCTTTGGAGGGACGAAAATTTGCTTTGGCCGGCGCCAAAAAGCGGACGATCTGACGGTTTTAGAGGATTAAATACAACCCGAAACTAAAAAATAGACCCGGGCTCTATTTGAGACCGGCCTTTATTTACCCAAACCCGTGTAAAAGAGACAGGCGTCTATTTGGCACTCGGCTATTATTTGAAGTTTTACGGTATGTAAATATGCACTAATGATAAGACAATGCTATGTAGCTGACTGTTGTGGAAATAACTAATAAAGAATAGCAGTCAGAGCAGCAATCGTTCTCCCCTCGGCCATTTAAAGTTTATGGCCCGCCCAACTCTGGGACTTAGATATTAAAATTATCTCCGAGCTATAGTTCATGTTCAATTTTTAACTAGGAAACTCATATTTACGATAATTCCGATAGCACAAGAGAACACTGTTTTCATCAATAGAGGTCTCTTACTTCTCTTGGCTAAAAACAAATGGCAGTGCCACTTTCTCCTTGGCTTTTCTCTCCTCCTCAGACAGGCGTAGATTGAAGGTCAAGTTTGATGCTGGATCAGCCTGTTCAGATCACAGTGAAAGACAAAAAGTTACAACAAAAACCTCCATCTAAAGTCATTGAGAATCAAAGAGGCTTTGCTCACCTCTGCTACTTTTTGCTCTTTCTGTACATGCCCAGGTTGACGGAGTTTGGCCTGTACAGAAAGGGTCACGTCCTCGGACACATTGAAATACTCTTCCTAAAAATGGATTACACACTTATGATTTTAGTTTAGAATCACATGTTTATTCAGAGTAAAACCTCATGTCTTACCTCTTGCATAACTTTGCCTGACTTTGTGCGTCGTGTAGTCGTAGCCACAGCATAATGCTCATTGTTTGCAGGTGCCACAGAGATAACAGTACTGGCTAAGTGGCTTACAATCCCTACAACACCTTGTAGGTGCAAATCTGAATGCAGGAGACTGATAATAGTTTTAATATCTCCTCCTAGTGGTCAGTGGAAAAAACAAACAAGAGCATTATTTCTTAAGTCTTGAATTAGTCGACACTTAATGCCTGCTACAGACTGTGTGATTTCGGCAATCCTATAAGATCATTACAAATCACACTGTACGACATGTATCTAATAAACTAGGGTACGACATGTATGTAGACTGTACGATGATGACACATATTGAATAGTAGGCTACGACGCAAGTTAGTATAGAAGAGTAAAACGCCATCAGCATGCGCTTGTGGTAAACAAATAGAGCAGGATGAATCTAACTTTGGCAATCATTGTTTTTACCATTTTTAAGCGAACGAGGAGGATCAGGACGCAGTCATTGCTAGGGAAAAGAGGCATGTCAAATTTGTAAATGGAGCGCCATGTTACGTTGATCATTACGCCATTTCATGTAGCATTTTTATTGGCTAGTCAGTAGACGTAGGTCGTAGAAGCAAACACACTGTGAGATGATCATGCTAAATTTCTAACACTGTCAGAAAATTATCACATGCTATCTTTGGTTCCAAGACCATGATGACAATGGCCATCTTTGAATCTGTATGACGTTTAGGATCCACTACCACAGAAATCGACCACGATTGATCCTCTTTCGTCTGGGACAGCCCAAAATCACACAATATTTACCGGGCATTAAAGGCAACACAGTTTGTCAATGTGAGATGTTTCACCCTTTCTGAGCTCTTGAAGTCTTCGAGAGATGACAACAGGGTCATGATGTCTTAAAACCAATGAGAGGGAGTCAATAACAAGTACTGGTGCTTTGGCATGCTGCGAGTCTTTGATGAGCTTAGTTATGTGTTGAGAAGTGAGCTGATCGACGGTGAAAGACGATCTGCACATCCAGCCGAGGGGATCAGGGAAACCCTTATGAAAATGAAGCCTTTAAACACACAAAACACATGAGAAAGTATTTCAGTGGTAAAATAAATCAAATCAAATCCTAAAATAGACTGCATGTCTCTCCTGAATGGTAAAAGAATAGAAGTAAATTAATCAGTAATATACTAATATTATTACGCTACTAAAATATTACACTTTTGCTGTTGTTAATGTCCTTACAAAATGTGTTAATAAACAGTTGGGAGAAACAATGGTAAATACAAATAATAACACATAAATAATATCCTACATAGTTAGCAAAATATGGTAAAAATAATAAGATAGCAAAATAACCAGGCTTATCAACTTAAAAATATCAATATTATTTATGTCAAAGGCTGTGCATATTCTGGCACAAATTAATAAATTGCTTAACATGGCTACTATTAATACTTTTACTGTTGTTTTTGCACATATAACATTTGATAATTAACATCAGTGAAAAATAATGGGAAATGCAAAACATATAAAGTAACTAACAATATCATACATAGTTAAGGTAATAACAAAATAACCACCAGGCTTATAAACTTAAAACAGAAAATATATATGTGGCAAAATTTTTGGTACAGGTTCTTCTGTCACTTGATACTTTGGCTATTGTTAATAAAATATAACATTTCTGCTGTTTAAGCAAACCTTAAAATAAAACGGCATATTTTAAATTGATGTACGTTACAATACTGTTTATTACCAAGGCATTAGTCAGTAATAGACATAATGTGAATAAAAATGTGAATAACTTTGCTTTGCAGGTTGATTTAAGGTGTGCCATTACATTTTCTAAATGTTACATTTTCAAAAAAAGTTAGTCTGGAGCCCTAATTTACAGTATTTATGTTTGTTTTGCATAAATTTAAAAGAAGAAAAAAAGTTTCATTTTAAGGTGATTTTTTTTTTTTCACAATAAACTGTTTAGTGTGGTGTTATGTCACCACTTGTAAAATCTTGAGTCCTGAAGCAAAACAATTGAAAACCACTGCACTATGATATTTAAAGATTTTAAATTATGTGCATCCTAATTTACACACTTGTCAGTACCATTTAATATACATTTCTATGATGTAAAGTGCTTTTAGGTGTCACCATATGCATAAAAGCATGTTTCAACTTCAAGTCACAAATCAAGAGTTAATCTCTCTCTCTCTCTCTCTATATATATATATATAGATAGATATATTTTATTTGGCTCACTTCTGCACACAGCTTCTGTCCAAGCCAGCACACACTTCTGTTTCACTCGCCTCGAATCCCAGCACATGTACGTCCTCGCCCCTTTAATAGATTTTAACACAAACCAAACATTTGGAAGTCTTAATGGAAGTCAATAAAAAAAAAAAAAAAAAAAGAATCTGCAGACAGGAACTTGCCTCTTCAATGCTGCATTAATAAAACACTTGAGGATGCCCCGACCTGTGCATTTGACAGTATCTGAAACGTACAAACATATACTTACTATACTCAGCAGTGTAGAAATGTACAAACGGGGTAAGAGTATTGATGTTACCTTGAATGAGTATGAATCCTCCAGCCTCTGCTCCCTGTAGCACATCTAGCAGCATGACTCAAACGCTCATTAAACACGACTATTAGCTAACAGCAAAACAAATCACTTTTGGGCTTGGCAAGCTACTGGATGACTTATTACACCAGTGCTATTGATTAAACATCTTAAAGACCCAACTAGAATTCAAAACTCTTGGTTATATAAAGAGTTATGGTAAAATTCACGATCAACACGAGTTTGATTACAGCGAATACTCAATTTCCCAAAAGCACAGCGGCTACTCGACCCGCGCTGTTTCTTCTGCATCGCTGTTTGCAAACTTGAGTAATGCATTAGCGCCACCTACTGTGCTGTAGTATATATAGCACTGGGTCCCTTGCATGAGGATGATCATGTTTGGTGGCCATAGCATCTAAAAGATTGAAAACCCCTGATATCATCTAACACATTTGATAGGGATATTTTCCCCAAAAATGAAAATTCTGACATCATTTACTCACCCTCAAGTTGCTCCAAAGCTGTATACATTTCTTTTTGAGAATATTTTGAAGAATATGGTTAACCAAACAATTGATGGGCACCGTTAAAAAAACAGAAGAAAATACTATGGAAATCAATGGAGCCCATCAACTGTTTGGTCAACCATTCAAAATATTTTATTTTGTGTTCAGCAGAAGAAAGAAACTCATACAGGTTTGAAACATCTTGAGGGTGAGTTAGGGATTTACATTTTTGGGTGAACTATCCCTTTAACTATTATTAGTGTTATCAGTCTCGTTGTTTTTAACACGGCTTTGTAGCCTCTATGTCTGAACAGCAAGGATATTTTTTATCTCAGAGGCAGTAAAGCTATTTAATTGTCTGTTTCCTCAAGGCCCAACATAACATATAGTGACAGCTCAACGTTGCCCTCTAGTGATATTATACGGAACATGGGGGGGAAACAGGGGGGAAACAGTGAAATCGTTTAAGATTCACTCCTATCTATGCTCACTGAATTGTGAAAAGAGAGAGAAAAAAACTAATATGATTTCCATCTTTAAACAATATCAATATGATTTTAAAATTATATATACATGTGTATATTATACATGCATGTAAAATAATTATATATATTTAATTATATGATATGATATGAGTGTGATGTGAGTGAGTATATATATATATATCAGTAATAATAACCCATAAACCTTCCTTAAAAACTGAAATGTTTCTGCTGTAACGAAGCCGCGAATCAACTCCTCCATGACGTCATCAGCGCGCGCCGCTGGGTTTCAGTCTGCTGGCCTCTGGAATGGGCAGAAAATCACCAGCCCATATTTCACCATTGATTAATTGCACGAACTCCACCGAGAGTCTGTATTTTTCCCGTCGTCTACACGATGCTATGCGGAGGTGAGTGTTTTTGTCACAGGGCGTTTGCGTGCGGGTAAAGGAGCGACGGGTTGAGTATGTGGGAAGAGCGATTAGCTCGTTAGCGGCGGTCCGGTGGAAATCCCAGCCTTTCATTTAGTCCTGCTTTAGTTTCAAACATGCTTTGATTACCAAAGTTTTTGACTGGACGAAATGAAGCGAACGCACCAAACTGTTTCTATGCAAATTATCGATTATATTGCCCGTGTGAAACGTCTGGCTAGTGAAGTTAAAGGCTTTAATAGCAGCTGGCTAACGCTTGAGTCTTGATGAAAACATCACTAGTGTCTCGTGCCACGATTCACTCCAGCGCGATGTCAATCCTGACAGGGATTACTAACACCCAAAACATAAAATTTGTACGTTACTGTATCTTATTTTTGGCTTTTAATGTTTTTATTACGCTTTTCTTAGTCTGTTTTAGTTTAATAGTGTCAGGATAATGTAGGCAGGCGAAGTTTCCGTTTCATGGAAACTTTTCATTTTGGCAAACGATTCGGTGACTTGCTTTTTAATTGATGAAATTGGCTATCAAAATGAGAGATTACTATATTTAGAAAGGTGGCAGTGCATTTTATCCACCTGGCATGTAGTAGCAGAAATCTAACGTTACTTTTACTACGGAGCAAAATTGCGCCTAGAATTGATTTTCAGGGGCATTTTATTACCTTTCACGCGGGTATGTTTGTATTTGGGTCTGTCGTGTATTTATGTATGATACTTGAAGTCTGCTCTAAACGCATAATACGCATAGATTTGTATTAATGTGAAATATACCAAATGTTAGACAGCACACAAAAAATAGGAACTAGTATGGTGGTTTAGAAATGGTTGCTCCTTCTATTTCTGCACTTTCTTTCCCTTTATTGAATCTGACGTGTATGAATCACAGAAGCATTATGGGTTCAACACAGTTAGCCTGGAAGAAATGTATATTAAGTGCTTTATCTTTTAGGCCTAATTCTATTAACTATTATGGCTGATACTGCACTTATTTTTATTGTGAGGTTTGTTCTGTGAGATATAACTTAAGGTTACATATTATTAGAATGAGCTCTGAAAAACGATCAAAAAGTTTGTATTAATAACAGTTGTAGATTTTAGAGTATGATGTCAACATTACTAATTAAAATAAAATATAGTAAGATTTGATACATTTTCTATTTTGAATGATTCCGCTTATCTGTAAATGGAAGTTTGCAAAATTTCCCTTTAACTGCTCTGAGGTTAAGTGATGTTTGTCATGATGCTGGTATTTTGATTTCTAGTATCCTCAACATTGTATTTCGGCGAACTGGAAGGGGCATTTGTGGATTTTCTTGGTAATTTCCAATGTTTCTTTTTTTTTAGAAAAGTGGCTTTTGATGAATGAGTAAAACAGGTCTGTGGTTAAGGTTACTCAAAGAGACTTCCACATTTTGCTCTAGAATATAAATGACACATTCATACCTAATAAAATGGCATTTTGTCACTGTTTTTCAAAGGTTTTGTAATGTTCTTAAACATTTTAATATTTCAGTTAGTTGCCAAGGCGCAATTTTCGGCCCAGTTTTTTTATTTATAATTTAATTTAACTTTATCTTTATTACGAAAACTATAACTATAAAAAATGGTTATCAATAACAACACTTGTATTATATTGTATTATATGGTTGTTTAATTAATGGCTCAACAATTATCATCAGTTTTGGCACATAAATAGCAAAATTGTGTGTATTAGTGTATATTGTCCAAATAATCTGAATTGAATCAAACTTGGCTGCAACTAATAAATCTAAAGGGTTGATTTGTTGTTTCAAACTGACAAATAAACGGGGAGATCCGGGAGCAAGTAACATGGAGAAAGATTACGCAAATTGGCCAAAAAAAAAAGTCCTTTAAAAACGTAAAATGCAAAGTAAACTATGCTATGTATTGTAATACGTATTTGAAAATATGTGCTCTTGCACATTGTTTATAAGTAATACAGCAGTTTTACTCGATATTCACCAAAAATATTATGGCAATTTATATATATATGCAGCAGAGTTTGAAAATGACATTTGGAAGATTTTCCACATTCTTTAATTGACTAGTTGGCACAGTTGTCTAAACCAGCCATTTTAATTGGCTTGGTCAGTATGTTCAGCAATAGCCTATCATTAGTTTGAATATGTTGTTTTATACATAATTTCTTTATGCATTTAGGTAAGGTGATGGAAGAGGCCAGCGGGAGGTTCTCAGAGCTGATTCCAGTGGTGCTATTTCCGCGGCTGTCAGGCTTTGTCCCTTCCTCTGTTCAGTAACAGCGCCCATTCTCATCCCGAATCACCATGAAGCCAGTCCACGAGCGCAACCAGGAGTGCCTCCCTCCCAAAAAGCGGGACCTCCCTGTTAACAACAGCAACAACAACACCTCCACCAACAACAGCAGCAGTAGCATCAGCGGCGGAGCGGGAGGCAGCGGAATTGGGAGTGGAGGAGGAGGTGGTGAGGATGGCCCGTCTTCACAAAGCTCTGGAGTGAGCGGAGAAGCCCAAAGTGGTAGTGGCGAGTGGGTGCGAGCCCAGCCGAGCGTGCATTATGGGGTGGAGGGTGCTGAGGGTCTCATCGGGTTACCCATGGATCAGTACAGCATGCTCTATAAAGTAGCTTTGCCCGCTGGCACCTACTCACCTGTTCTTAGCCACATTTCTCCTGCCTACACCGTTCCTTCCTCGGTGTTACAGCATACTAGTGTTCCCTACCCTCCGCTCGGCTACACCCAGATCCCGCACTCCTCCTTGCAGTTTGTTAGCTCTCCGTACGCGACTGCGGTTCCCTACGGCGTGCCTACGGGATTTGTTCCCCAGTCGCACCTAGTTCCATACCAATCAGTGATTCAGGAAGGAGTGGTCTCGTCCCATCAGCAGCAGCAGGTCTCGACCCACGCGTACACCAAAATGACAGCGCCTCTGGTGCTCCCGTCTGAGCAGGCGGCGACACAAGCGGCGCTGGGGACTGTAGGGATGTTACCTGCCGGGGAGCACAGCCCGAGAGGCGTGCCTGTGTTCTACCACCCCCCCGTCAGGGGCGTCCAACCTCAACGAGCCCTAGAACAGGAAAGGGAGGTGAATGGTGGGAACCGAGACCACGGAGGCAGGGAGAGCCATTTAGATGCAGTTTATTCGTCCAGAGGTGGAAGGCTGATGCAGGAGTCCCATCAAGACAAGAGCTTGAAAAGCCGCAGGCTGGAGGGCAGAATGTCTCCAGGACAGAGAAGCACGCCAGACACTGATCTCGAGGTAAGAGACAGTGGTTTACTATTATAGGATCAATGTGTTAAAGTATGTAATGCCGAGTTCAGACTGCACGATTTTCAAAATAATCGGGTCACTGTTGTTTTCACACTGCATGACTATCTGAGGTAACATTCAGTTGCTGCTGTGTTCACACTGCACGATGGATCGGCGACAGGAGGTTTCACACTGCATGACTTTACAAAAGAAATAATCGCCGACAACTTCTGCCTGGTCCGCAAACTACGTTTCACAACCAAACAAATGCGAGAAGTGATAGGAAATAACGGAAGATCACGCGTGCCTGAGACCGGAATTTGTTATTAAAAATGATAGCCTACAAATTGTCTGTGCACTGATTTGTAGCGAAAAAAAAAAAAAAAAATGAAAAAAACAGTTTATGCAGGAAATGGTTGGGAAGACGAGGGGAGCAAGGACTGTGTTTTGCAAAGAGAGTTGGGGGTAAATAAATAATTTTGCAAATGTCCTGCTGTTGCTGCTGGTCATGCAAATGTTTGTGCTTTGTTTCTGTTTGATATAATTGTAAATATAGGCCTATCTATTAAAATACTGATATTCTGGTCTATAACTCCTCCTCCTCCTCCCTGTATCTTGCTCTCTCATTGGCTGTCGGTCATCGCCGATGTAGTTTTCAGTCAAAACACATTCACACAGCAGGATTGTGAATCGCCGACAGGTCCAGATATTTAGCATGCCAAATATCTCACGGGCGTCGGCGATTCTCTCAGATCGCGTCTTTGCTCATTCACACTGCATGATTGTCACTCGCGTGAACGAGCACCGATTTGGCTGTGATTTCGGGCATTTGTCGGCGATTTCTCAACCTGTCGGCGAGCCAAAATCGGGGCTAAAATCGTGCAGTCTGAACTGGGCATTAGATGTCTTGCTGAAGGTTTCGTAGAGAGTTTTAGAAATTGACCTTATTCACAGACTTTGCATTTCCACAATGATCAGCATTGCAAATTTAGTACAATTTTTCATTAAAAAAAAAAGATTAACACTGCTGCGACGGTGTTTCTAATACAACGGCTGAGGGACTGATCTGATGACAAATTTCTGACCAACGTAATCACTCTCTTGATAATAGTCATGAAAACACTATCATCACGGATGTTTTATTTTGCTGTTGGAGCAAATGGTAATGCAAAAATGATTTTTTCCTGTCATCTCCCGCTCACCACTAGCATAAGTCGTCAGTTGGGTAAACTTCTTTAATGTTAAATGTTAAAAGGGTCCGTTCAAAGAAAGGGTTATTGAAGGTCTGTGTTTTTTCACTCCAGAATTAAACCATTTCGATCAACAAACTGAAATGTACATGCTATGGCTTTAAAAAAAGAAAGGGCATGTAATGTGCCATGTATGTGAGACAGTGTTTGAAAGCATAAAAGGTGATTTTAGAACAGAAATATGATTTTACAACAATTTCATTGCGAATGTCAGCAAATTAAAACAAATTAAAACTGCTGCTGAATGAAACAATCACATATTTGACCTTTGTTCTTCTGTTTTACTACAATTCACTAAAAGAGTTGCAGATGGGTTGTTGACATGACATGTGACAGCAATTTCTGCCATGCTATAATCGGAAACTCATTGGATAGTGGGTGTTGCATGTCAGAATAGAGCAAGACCAAATGTGTTTGCTAAAGCAATGCCTAAATAGCTATTTAAAAAGGGGAAGTCATTTCAGAAGAAGAGCAAGTTATTACAATATCACCGGGAATGTACTTTTAAGTAAATAATGTGGTCAATTTAGATTTCTTATTGAACAGTAATTTGCCACATCACAGGACTGAGTGCACTGCAGAAAAGCTGATTAAAAATGGTGGCCAGTCTATAATTTTGACCTATATTAAGATCAGATCTTTCTTTAAAGGTGCAGTAAGCGATTTATGAGAAACATTGTTGATATGTGAAATCAATACTCAAACAAACACACCCATCCCTTCATTTCTCCGCCCCCTAAATAGCGAACAACACACTATGAAACACAGGCAACCAATAACAGCTGGCTCTAGTGTTGTCAAAATATTCGGTACTTCGGTACCAAGTCGGTATTAAAACATTTTAAACGTCACGGTAACAAGTACCAGTGGTACCGAGTACCCGGTCAAACCCGGTTCTGGACGCGCATGCATGCACGAATGGCGTGAAGTTGCGTCCTCTTCATGAAAGCGCTGAGACATGGCGACCTGATGTGGTGTCTGTGTATTAAACTGCAAAAAGACTATTTAAATATTAACCCTGCATGTTCTGCTTGTCTCTGTATGAATGAACGGTTTCATTTAACGTTACCTCACACACACACACTGAAGCACGAGTGATGCTCGCGCTGTTTTCAGTCTCTGCTGCCTCACGATATGGTGACATGATTCATGTTTCAATTCATCTCCGAGAGTCTCTTCATGAGCATTTTACCGTTTCATTTTAGAAAAACTATCGTCATATCATACACGCACAGAAACTCAAAGGTCTTCACGGCAACCCAGATAAAAGTTTGGTTTAACTCAAAGAAATTGACAGAAATAATTATATTAGGCTACTGTACAATAGATTTAACTACGTCTCCATTAATTAAAAATATTACTACTACTACTACTAATGCAGGGCTTAAAGTATTCCGGCACCGTGCCGGATCTCCGGCGTGCGGCCGTAAAAAAAAAAAAAAAAAAAGGGAACTTGCATGCGGTTTAATATTTTCGAGTCAATTGATTTCACCTACCAATCATATGAGAGGATTGCAGCTCTAACTAACGTTACAAGCCTATCAGAAGCAGAGTAGGGCGGGTCCTGGCAACACACTGTGATTGAGATCCATACGTCACATTAGCGTCGTCGGTGAAAGCATGGAGCGGAAGTTCAAAGCCCGGGGATGATGTCTAATGGGCCTTTCACACAAGACGCGGAAAGCAACATCAACGCATGCGATTCATTTTTGTCCAGCTTTAACGTTTTAAAATATTTAACGCAATTAACGCAGCATCCATCCGTTCTTTCTGTCATCCTTTAGCTAGGGTTATGATCACGCTCTTATTCACGCAAATGCTTTAACCATTCCTGCGCAACTAGACAAAAGAGATTGCGCTGTCAGTGAATGTCCTCCTGACACGCGCGCACACACACGCACACACACACGACGCACAGAAAGACGCGCGCCAGTATCGAGTTCTCTTTCGTGCTTGAACAAACAGTCAATAACACACACATTTATGCCAGAATGTCCGTTTTGTCGAGTATCCTCACAAGAACAGTCTTAAATGAGTTAAATACAATCTTAAATGGAAGTAAGTAGTGAGAGAATGAGATGCGTGAGATCCTGTCAGCAGCGGCAGATCTTAAAGTGACAGGAGCCATTAATTCTGTCTGTCAGTAAAGTTAACCTAAAGAACAGAGGGAACAGCGAAAATTACGAACTGCTCTTGACTAAAGAACGCTTGTAGCTTTGATAAGGATTAATCTATATTTCATTTATAATTTATGAAGTGCGGACTGTTTTATAACCTTATTCAATTTATGTATGGTACAGGTAAATATGACATTTATTATGGGTTTAAGTGAGGATTGTTTTAAGTTCACTTAAATTAAAGTTCACTTAAATTAAAAGTTTTTATATCTTTTTAAGCCTAACGTTTAAAATTTGGGGGGAAATCATTTTCATCGAGACATCAGTAGCTATAATATTAGTGATACTGGCTTTCATTCATAAAAAGATGCCATTAAGATACAGCTGTAATACTTGAAAATAAATGGTGCCATTGAAGATAAGTCCGTCTGCCCCCCACCCCCAAAAAAGTTCAGGCTCAGGAATTTTTTTCACTTTAACCCCTGCTAATGTGTGCATAGAAGATTGCTTATTTTTCAGTTTTATAGGCAGTATTTCTCAATATCATCAATATTTTAGTTTAAACAGCATGTAGCCTTCAATGCTCTCAGAAATTTACCGTCATAAGTCATTGAATTGAATTGAATTTTTTTTTTTTAAATAGTTAAATAAATTGGAAAAATAGGTCAAACTGATTTTGCTGTGGTACCGAAATTGGTACCGAGAACCGTAAAATTTGAATGGTATCGGTACCGGCTACTGGAAGTTTGGTACCGTGACATCCCTAGCTGGCACATTAGACAGCTCATGCAATGGATGAATCAGCTGTAATTCAACAGCATACCTTGGTTTTGTGAAACAAAGCAAAAAACAATGTTGCTCACGTGTCGAGCAGAAACAAAGGAACCTCTGCGTCAGTTTCCAGGCCTTCAGTCTCTCTAACGTCTCTCCAGCGCTGGAAAGCTTTCCAATATTAATGTGGGTCCTAAAGCTCTTATCTGATCGTAACCCTCCTTCCAATTATATTCCCCAGACCTTTTCCTCTTTGGTAATATCTCAGCCATCTCTCTTTCCCTTTCTTTCCTGCTCGCTCGCTCACTTACTCTCTTCCCCCACCATGAGTGTATATACCCCCTACTGCCAGTCCACATTGTTTTTTTCTCCTATATACACAACCAGGACTATATACAAACACACTTATTTCAGCATACAGAACAGACATCTAGCATACATTCACAAAATTGTTTGTTTAGGTATTGATTTAAATTTTCAATAGCGTTTCTCAGAAAATCGCTTACTGCACCTTGTTTAGTTGTGTCTAGATGAGGAGAACCCAATTAAACAAATAACACAAATTTTGTATTGTAATTTGTAAATTATATAAGAATGAATTTATTTGCTGGGGTTTGTTTTCATGTTTAAATCTCTAAATCTTTCATTCTAAATGTTTGAATTTTCTGAAGTGTGGTTTCAGATTTTATCCCACTGTACTAGGTTAATTTTTGTATTTAATACTATCATAGTATTTATTAATGTTTTGTGTTAGCCTTTGATTGTTAGTTATTTTGTTTAAGTTTTTTTTTTCATCTAATATTTAGATCAGTTACTGAATTTTTAGTTTTAGTTAATAATATCAACACCACACTGAACATGTTATTGTTACAACTTCCCAGGTATCACATTTGAATAGAAGTTGGAAATCAGGTTTCTTTGTTGAACTAATTACCTGCTACAACCTGATTATTATACAACCAGTAAGGTTCACGTGGAGTGCAACTACGCACTGTGATGTTTAGCAATGTCAGACTTTTCCTTGAACTTGATTTAATATTGCAAACATATTGTAACATAATCTGGACCTACACAGAGTAATATTTTAAATGTCTCCTGCTTTTTCTCTGCTTAATGTATTTTTCAGAGTTTTTCCTTTTTTGGGGCAATTCTTATGAGTCAGCATCAGTTTACACCACTTCCTTCCTTTATTAGCTGCTTTGGGTGTGTTGAGGATTGAGTAACTCAGGCTACTACTTAGAAACAACAGAGATTGGTTTTTGATTTATACTTAGCAGAATCTGCTGTGACAAGTCTTGAGGCAAGTCTCACCTTTCATTTGTCACTATTCAGCTTATGGTGCTTTATAAAAAAAAATAAACTTTCATCCAAATGTCCATTCTATCTCTATAAAGCCTACTGTATCATATTTGATACTCAAATATCTAAGGCCTTTAAACTATCACCATGATCAACTTTGCTGAAAATCCTGTCTCACAATCTACAACATGCCTTCCGTCGTCTGATTGATAGTTCATACTTCTTTTGCAAGTAAAATGCATTTTAGTATAATTATAACAACGTTCCCTTTCAGGTTGTGGTACATCTGTCTTATTGCTGTGAAATCTACTTATTATTATAAAGTAAACGTTAGAATTACCTTTATATTTTTATATTCCAAGCAACTTAGTTTTATTTGATTATCCCTCATTTGAAGAAAAATGTCATTGATTTACATTACAAGCTATCAGAATTTTTAATCTGACTTTTTGGTTATATAAATAACATCAACTGCACAAAATTGCATATTTTTGCTCCATTTTTCCCACTTGAGTGAGAGATCCACATTCTCCTATATCATTACTATATGAGCCATAAATGTCAGATGTATCAACTTTTTTTTTTTTTTTTTTACAAATATTTTGTCTAAATATTCAATAAACTGTTCCATTTAAAGAATTCGATTTTTCTGACTATAATTTTGTCATTTCATTTGTAGGTCCAGCAAGTTGTTGGACGACTGGCCTCTCCTGTCCATGGCATGAGTCGCAAGGAAGCAGCACACGTCCCTCTGAACCTTTCTCAAAGCTCTCAGAGGAGTCGAGAGACTCAGAGCGAAGTCAGAACAGCATATGCATTAAATCCTGCTGAATCCAGAGCTCATCAGCAGCATATCGTTCAACAAGGTCATGCCGTGATCTTGGCCAATGGGCAACCTGTTTTCGTGCCCCTGGACTACCATCATCACCAACAGCAACAGCAGCAGCATTATCAATCCAACGATGTGGCCTCAGCAGCCATCGTTGCTTCTCCCGCTACATATACAAAAGCCATGGATGCAGTAGCGTGTCTCCCAGAGCGGGCGGTGGCAGAGCTGCCTCCCCAACACAGTCAGCAGCCCTCCCAGCAGCTTCCCACTCAAGCTCCTGGTGCTTTACCACAGGCTCCTCTGCTGGCACCCACCGGCCCGTCGCACTTCATGAAGGGCGCCATCATCCAGTTGGCTACCGGAGAGCTCAAGCGTGTGGAAGATCTGCAGACTCAGGACTTTGTGCGGAGCGCAGAAGTTAGCGGTGGGCTGAAGATTGACTCGAGCATGGTGGTGGATATCCGCGCTAGTCAGAGGCCCGGTCTAGTGGCGTTGCATTTCAACGTAGGGGAGCAGCAGAGCAAAGTGACTATAGATGTTCCCCCCGAACACCCGTTTTTTGTTTTCGGACAGGGCTGGTCGTCCTGTAGCCCTGAGGGGACTGCCCAACTGTACGGTCTCACCTGCCACCATCTGCAAGTGGGCGACGTCTGCGTGTCCGTGACGCTGCAGCAGCAAGCCACGTTACAGCAGAAACCGACGCAGCAACTGCAGGCCCGGACTCCCACCAAAGCCAACTCTACGTCAGGAGCCCCTCCTCAGCCAATGGGCCCCCCTGCGCCCCAGCACACCCCTCGGCCACCAAACCAATTAAAGATGGAGCGCATCCACAGAGAGAGGGACAGGGACAAGGAAGAGCCCATGCAGGTCGGGGGTCCTCGACACATCGATGTGTCCCCCAGACCGAACAGGACTTCAGCAGAGCACACTCGGAGCCAGAGCAACTACTATTTGCACACTGAGGGTCATGCTCCACCGGGAACCGGAGCGGGAGCCTCTTCCATAGGGGCGTCCCAGAGGCGCTGGTCTGCCCCTGGCTTCCAAAGATATAACATCAAGAATGAGGAGGGAAGTTTAGCCTCAGTTGCCATCTCTGGCTCCTCTCGCCCATCATTTATCCCTCAGGAGGTCAAGCTATCCATCGAGGGGCGCTCGAACGCCGGCAAGTAGCAGCAAACACAAAAGAGATTGTCTTTGGGAGTGAAGTGTCAGTCGGATGTGAAAGAGGGAGCGTGGTCGGAGGGAGAGAGAATGTAGCCTCAGAATGTTTGAGATTTTGCACATATTGGAAGATTCCCCCTGCCGCCCCCTTCTCCAGTTCTTTTCGGTTCTGGTCTCGAGCAGAGGAATTATTTTGCCAGGTCATAGTCAGAGTTCGCAATGATCTGCATGGGCAGCTTTATCTGGTAAATCACGTACCAAAGCCTGCATCGTCTGCTTGTTCCTGTGGGTGAACTATCGTGTTTTGGCAGTGATCACTTGCATAAAGATATCTTGCAGTTCCTCAAGTAGATGTTTATTTCAGAAAGGCCAGGGATAAGAATGGGATACAGCCATAGAATCTTGACAAGCCTTTACAATAATAATTATATATTTTGAAGAAGGACGAAAGAGGATAGATTGCTCAACAACTTTTTTCCCTAAAAGACAGGCATTTTCTCTCTAAACATTGACTGTTTCCCTTGTTGCGCTGCCAGGCTTTTATTGGCTAAGACCTTAAAACTTGGACAGTTTTTAATGCGTCTCTCTCTAGAGGTGTGTTTGTCCTCACTTTCCTACACTCTCCTCCTCTCCCTGCCTCTTCTCAGGGTGCTTCTGATGAGGACTACTTTCTAGTCTGGAGTTTGAGAACAGTTGCCCAGCATCGTCACATCAATCAATTGATCCAACAATCTTTCTACAATCAGGAACTATTTCCAGATGAAGTCTCACACGCATCTTAACAGTTGCATTAACGACTCCTCAGAGGTTTTTAATTTTGATTCAGCAGTGGCTCTGAATCTCCATTCCAGTTTCAATGTGATCTCTCCTCCTCAACCCATTGGAGTTATCATTACCCAGTAAGGCTGGCCTAGGAAAACGCCTCTAAATAGTACCTCATGGTTGGAAGCATCCTTCAGTCTGATAATTAACTTCTTTTTTAATCCTACATTGTTGTGCCCTATTTCATGGAGACAACATGTGGTGTCAGCCAAAATCAGCCGTGCTTGCGAAGCTGAGACCAAATGTGGAACAGGTTCTAGTCGTTTGCGAACGGCTTGTTCCTGTGGAAATGGATTATTGCTCTGAAGCATGCAGGTTTAAATGAAATCGTCCCATTGGAAGCGTTGAGCACAGACAAGTGTAGATTCACTGCTGTTGGGTGTGGACTGACCCTGCTCAGTTATCAAAATCAAAGCAATAGTTTTTTCATGTTTTATTTTTGTTTTTTTAAATCCCGTACAGGATAGATTACTCCTTGTATTTAGATTTTTCTATGTGCAGCGTTTGCAGTCTGTATGTAAAGACCTTTTCAACCTTTTCCTGCACTTCTCTTGATTTTCTAAGATAATGCAGTTTTACTTTGTGATAATACTCACTCTAACAGTTACTACAGGAGTTCATTACAAGCATGCAATTACCCCTAAAACAACACCTCTTTCTTTTAGGCAGATTTTCTGTCTGACCAGTAGTGTCTTCAGAGATGACATATGAAATCACACCTCAAAATGGGGCTTTTCTGAAACACCCGTTGATTAGGATATTCAGGGTCAGCTCTTGCTATTTATAAAAAGACCTTGGTCTACCTTAAATTATGTCCTAACCAGGTATGACATGATAAAACAAGTGATGCATGAGTTACAGTGTGGTGTGTCTGCAAAAAGCGCCAAGCAACAGGACGCTTTTGGCTATCAAATTTTTCGATTTCTATTTTTGTGGTATTGTGCTCGGTAACTCTGCCTAACGTGAAATCTCATTGGTTCAAATTTTTTTAGCATTTTTGCTTTCAGTTTGGACGGACAAATTACTCATCACTGGAAACTTGTCACGTCATGCCTGGTTAGGACCAGTGTTGAACCGTAAACCCATCTTGAAAGAGCTTTATTAATATAGTTTCTAATTCAAATCTGTGCTGAGGTTTTTATGGTTTCTTCTTTGGTTTCTGTAATTGGTGAACTCTTGTACAGTATTGCATTCTCTTTTCTTCTTGGCAATATTACCCACGAGTGATTTTTAAAACTTGTACTGCAGGCCTTGTATTGCACAGATAAGTTCAATTGATTCACACTGACTCTTTAACAGGAATCAGATATTATGTGTTTTATCGTTTGTTTGTTTTTTTTAATAATGAAGGGAAAATGTTTGTGTATCTTTTGAAGTATTCAGTTTTGTTGGTGGTTTTTGGCTCACGAGAAACTGACAGGCGAGGTTGACACTGTTTACACATTAGCCAAGAGAAAATGCTGCAGTTTCACTTTTCGTAGTTACTGAACATTTTCAGATGGATGAAATCATGACTTAAGTGCAATTAGACCAAATAATATAAACATTAGGAAGATTGTGTTTAGTTTCAAAACAGCATTCCAGAAAAGAGCCTGACATTCCCACTTTTCCTTTTGCTGTTGTTGTTGTTGTTTTTGTAATGTTTCTTTGTTTCCCCCTTAATGTTTTGCCTCCACTTACTACTTGTCAGGTGCAATTTTTCATTTCCATTTTGGCTCAAGTTCGTTCATGAGACCTTTGGTATTTCTCTGCGTTGTTGGCTCTTGGCATTGCTGGGCTGTCTCTGTTTGGGCCATGATTTAATTTAACAGTTTTTGCACTCTCACTATCACTCAAGGCTTTAAGAGGAGGGTTTTTTCTTTTAGGTAAAATAATAATAATATATATATTTTATATAAATGTAGCGCTAGCATTTGACTAGTTAGATTTAGACTTCCTCCAGACTGCATCAACCTCAATGATACCACATGTCTGTGCAGTTCTAAAACCTCTAATGTTAAAGAGAAGTTCGGAAGAGTTAGAAAGAAGGGTTAATCGATTGAACTCACAGGACAAATTATGTGGGTACACTTAGTGGGCCCCATAACCTTTTGCCCTGGTATAAACCCACCTGGTTTACCAACAAGTCTGATTCAGACAAAACGAAGAAATGGCAATGTGTGTATCGAGTATAACAGTATTTGGTTTTGATAACCAACATTGGTTCAAATCCATTTGTTGTTTATCAAGCATTTCATGAGCATCATCTGTTGTTTTGTTTGGAGACATCCTGTTCCCTCTTAAAAGGAGTCCCACTTTCATGCTATTTATAATCTGGTCTCAAATCTAGTTCATGTTATTTCTTCCTTGCTCTTTCCCTTTTGTCCCAGAATGTTTCGGTGGCACATTGGACCCCTTTAAGATAGTTCACAGAGGACACTTCATTATTGTTCACTTAACTGTGGAGAGTGAGCTGCCCAAAAGGGTCACAACTGTCATCCAAGGCCTTGCAGACACAAATTTAGTATGTTCCTGACCGGGAAAAACATCTTAAACCTGCCTAATCTGGTCTGCTTGTCTTCAGCCTGGTCAAGTGCGTATGGTTTGCTGGGTTTTTAAGCTGTTTTGAACAGCTGGTCAACCGGCTTGGGAGACCAACTTTGACTGGTTTCAGGTTGTTAGGTTCACACACTGGGAAAATGTATAAGAGTGGAGATTTGTTGTTGTTGTTCAAATTTAGGACCTGTTCCATTGTTTTAAGTATTACATTTGACATGAAGCAATACTTGACTCGAAATAGCAGAAACATACAGCTTTAGGATGAGCTATGCAGTAGAGACTCAGTCAGCACCCTATGCGTAATGCAGTTTCAACACTCTCACCAGTTCGTCTGTGGTCTGCTGCGTTTCAAGAAACATTTCGATATAGTTGCACATTCTGTATTTTCTCTAGTAACCCGCAGGCTTGGTGACCTTTATGGTAGTAGTCAGTTAGGACTATGTCACTACCAAATCACACAACTTGAAGCGTATCTTGTGTCGCTAGTTTGGTGCTGTATTTTTTTTATATGATTTTTTTTTTTTGTCAGCAATGGTGCACTGTTCTCTGTCTTCTCAAATGCACTGCCTTACCAGCCATCTCTCTTGGAGATGAAATCTCCCACATGCAACCTTCATGGTGGAGATGGACTGAGTTCGCTTTCATTAAGAACTGAGCTACTATCCTGTGCACTGTAACCACGAAGAGTTGACGCTATGTTTGTGCCTTCCCAATGTCTTAACTTTACTATGGTCTGTCTTATTAAGCTCTGTTCTCTGGGAGATTTGCATGTCTCCACTTTGCTCTTACTGTCATCACATGTCGTATATCAATCTTGCTGGCTTTCAAATCATTCCGTACTGTTGAGGGCCATTTTGATCCGATCTATACTGCAACGTCAACCTTTCTGCCTGAAACTTCATGGCATCCCAAATACCTACAATTAGAAATATTACTATAGAAAATTAGTAATGGAGTGCTGCACTGATGACATTTTTGTAGGTCAACCTGGAAGTTAGCATCACCCTGTTTCCCTCAACAAAACCCAGCGGATTATTGTAGAAAATACGATTTTTTTTTTATTGTAGATTTTTGTTTGGCTCTGTGACCCAAAAAATGTATGATGATTGCACGTTTCATTCATCATGATAATCTTCACAAATGAACAACTTTTATGAATTTTGAAGCATAAATACAGTCCTTAGAAGTAAAGGCAAAATGTAGGCTATAAACGACATCAACGTCACCCATTAAGTGTCCGACAACTTTCAATAATATTTTTTTAGTCTTTTTTTTTATCCCTGAAGTTAGAATGGTTTGCAAGACCATAATTATAAACACAACAAGGTTGTGAACGTGGACAAATGTGTAGATGAGTTTACCTGTTCGGCTGAGGATGTTTAATGTCCCGGACAACCTCTGTAATCCCATTTAGCCACTTGTTATCAACCGCCTTTTACAAGACAAGCAAAAGCTTTTTAAACAATCATGAGGGTATTACTAATGTATTTTATGTTGTAAAATAAAACATGAAAATATCTTGAGCTCGTGTTAACTACAGACTTTATTTCAGGCTTTTAACCAAAAAAAAAAATCCTTTTACTTCAGGATTATGGAACTGGAAGTGCTAAAATGTTAACCCGTTTCCAGGTTTTGGACAGCAAAAATGTCATCCCCACAGCACTATATAGTTTAGCTATTGACGGAAGATCAACGTGGGGGATGGGAATCTGTAAATTGTGACATTGTAAAGCTGTGATCTTATCATTTGACGTTGCATATTCAATGGTAACGGCACAGAAGGTTTAAGCTTAAGCTACATTCCTACGCTTCTGCATTTCCTTTTCTCTATGAATGTGAGAGAATTAATCCAATCATGTCCTTTATACCTCGCTTTTGCATAGATATTGAGTACAGCATTGATACAAGCATCTCATCTCCCTATAAAGAATAGGATGCCTGCACACTAGACAAACAGAGGGTTTCATGGGTAGAAATGCATTCTTAATGAGGAAAGAGTTGGATTAGTTGAGTTCCGGAATACTTACAAAAGCACAATCAGACCAGTCTGCAACAGAGTGTGTTGCATTTCAGATTCAGGTTTTGGTCACATGGCAGATAGTCATTTTCACAACACTGGCGTTTTTCCTTTTTCAATGATGATTTTCATGTTCCCCATTGAAATCAAAGGATATATTTCTGGTGTGTAAACGCCCTATTCTCGGTGCACATGCCTTCTGCGTTGTTCTTCGCTCTGAAACCGTGTTGTTCTTCCATAGAGCCTCACCTAATCATGTAACATAGACGTTTGTCACTTCGATGCAATGAAATGTTCTGCACTTATTTCCCCTCACCTATAGTGTTATTGTAAATGTTTCGCCATTATATTGAATCATTCGAAACCACGTATAACAATCATCCAACATTTTTATGCTTGTACAGATATGAATATATGTTTTGTATAATATTAGCTTGTCAATAACGCCTTAAGATGTGCATTGTTAGTAAACGATGCGTACAAGTGACTCCCGCTCTGCAAGGTCGCACGATTTCACATGGAGACAAAGTCTCATTCAGTTCTAGTCGTTTTGACCGTGGACAACTCGGGAAAGGTCTGGTGTAATGTGGCTCGGGTTGCTCACTGACAACAATTAGTGATCTTGCACTTCCTGATTGTAAGATGATATTTTTTTTGGACTAGCTCATAATGTGTATCTTGGTTGGACACAATGCAAGCTTAATAAAATTCACAATGATTATTTTATTTATATTTTGCTCTTGTTAGTAAATCAGAAGTGAAGTCAAAACTGATGCTTTGCACTGATTCCAGCTCAGAAACATCTTCCCTCACCTCCTTAGTAAGCGGTCCTTTTTAGAGAAAATGTGTAATGTTTGAATCTTACAAAACCGAATTTCACCCATTTTGCTTAAACTACTCATTTCTTTTGATTTTGGGGTGAAAAACTTCTTCTTCTTTTTTTTTTATAATCAGAAAATCCTCATTGAAGTGGTTTGAGGAAATGAGTGAAAACTAAATTTATTGGAGTCTGTGTCAGAAGATGGTGTGTAGAAAACGAGAATCCCTGCAGATATACATATAGTTTGGGCTAAGAGTCCTAGGAAATCTTTTACAGTCGTCCATTTAGTCTCCCTGTTGACATCCGGGTAAAAATGGAGAGCTTAATGGTTTGTGAAATGTGAAAACGGCTGAACCCCCTCGAGAATTAACCGTCAGGGTTTTCTATATCAGTAACATTTCAGTGACTTGTAATTGTATCATTGCTTCAAATTGTTTGTGATGATTGATTTTTTTAATTTTGTATATATTGTTTTGGAAGGCTTTATGAACCCTAACACATGGCAGTTTGTGTAAATCCCAGACAGAACTCGGTGGCACGGCAGGCCAGAGTCAGTAATGTCGGCTGAAATCAGGTTTCTAACGGTTTAAAGGAATCATTATATACTCTCAAATTTGACATTGTACTTTTTGGCACTAAGTGACACTGCTTTTTATGTGATGTGTGACCAGTTTTAAATGAGATGGCATCTTTGTTTAATGCATAAAAATCTGCGAAATATATGCAATGATGTATGTGTTATATTCAATCCTCAAGTATAATCCAGGTTGTATAAACTTTGTATAGTACGTTTTAATATCGTATGGCCATACGCCCGTACCAATATGTATTAATTCTTCTCAGAAGCCTTAGAGTCGTCTACCCAAAGTGCTCCCTTAGCCTACCCTACACCTACCTGAACTTTACAAAGCATTAATAACTATATTTTGTTGCGTTTTTATTTGTACCCTTTTTTGAATAAAATAGATTTGTACTGTATATTTGTATCTCTCTGTGAACTACTTAGGGCTGTTTTGTTTTATGTTTTCCTGTTTTAATTCTATGTAAGGACACAAAGATATTGTATTTTTATTGTTACAGCTAACTTCTTGGAAACATTGCATTTATCATGTTTGTTAAGTAAACACAATATAATATATATATATATATCTATATAATATTAACATGCTGGCTTGACGTCTGTTTTTCTTATGCGTTCCATTCAATTAGTAAATTGTAATACATTTTTAAAAGGGTTGGAAAAGTGCATTGATGCATCTGATGAATCCAATGCATCAATTACAGAGTTTAATAATAGATTATGATTACAATAATAATATCCAATGTAGTATGCATTATTTTTTTTTAAATCTGAAATACAAACTTTTGAGTCTGTGAATGTACAATTGCTCTTGTTTTTTATTTTATATTCCACTATGGGGTAAATTATTTGTCGTCTTTTGGAAATAATCAAGATTACTGAATCAAACCGTGTTGTGACCAAATTTCAGATGAAATGCAATACACCAGGGAAAATACAAATATTTTTAATATATATTTTAATGGGGCCTGTACTAGTAAAAATGCTTGTTATGCATTTAGGTTTTTGGATGTCTATTTTCCCCACTACAGATAATATTATCAGCATGACTATTTCTGAATACCACATTTTCAATATGGTCTCGGATGTTTTAATCTCACTTGACGTGTGTGCACTTTTCTTTTTTTTAAGAGAGAAAGACAGAAACAAACTCTTAGCAGTAAAGTCAATGTTTATTCCACATTCTGTTCCTGCTTTTATGATGAGCTTTCAATCTGTTAACCCAATAACAGCATGGCTTTCTGAATAGGACAGGATTTGGCGTTGTTGTGACCAGTGCTATTCTTGTCACTTTATAAGGTTTTAGTCATTTTGGCCTTTTAGAGAGTTGTAAACATTATCATGAAAATATCTAGATAGAAGAAAAAAAGGCAAGTAATTATTGGACTCCAATCCTTAATGAAAAGCTTGAATAAATGCATTAACATGTAGTTTATAACATGCAAGTTCCATTGCCAGGGGTTCACTGACTTGTATGCACAAATATGTAAAAGAAAATGGTTCTTTAATACATAGCATGTCACATGGTAATGCATACCACTAAAATATAGTTTAGGAATAATGCAGACTAAATAGGGTTAATGTTTGAAAATACTCTTTTTATATTTTATCCTCAAAATAGACAATGCATCCTGTCAACATCTCATTCTATCTAGACTACAGAGAATCATTAGATTTTCTCATTGCATTGGGATGTGTTTCCTCAACTTTGATGCTACTGTATGATATAATTATAATGAATTTCAGGGAATTTACCATAAAAATTGCATTGTTCTTCCTGAATGTGCATACATTAACTCGATTAAATGAAAACAAAACTATGGATGGATCTCGTGGTCGAGGATTACGGACTTGAGGACAAATGGCTTGACTGTCAAGAGTTGCCTGAGGTTTGTGATCTGGAGCATTTGAGTCCATTTACTTTCATATCAACTGCATAGTAGTAATACAAAGTTTCTTGAGTACAGCTCTCAATTGCATAGTGATGCTTCATCACATGTACATTAAATCCTTTTCTTTTCCTTAAGGAACCCATCATTAATACTTCACAACAGCATAAACGTGGGACCAGTATCCAGTTGCCTTCAACCGTGCGGAAAAGCTCAGCTGCTTCACTTTGAATGGTAGAGGTATCTCTAAAGATGGTAATGATAACATTGTGAATTTAAAACACTGGAATGTGCATCATTCACTGTAGTAATAAATAAATTGTAATAAGAATGAAATAGAAGACATACATATCATACACAGTCTACCCTGTTTTCAAGAGGTACTTCCAGATGTACAGTGGTACGTTTTAACATGACTGACTCTTCCGGCTAAATGAAACACTGAGAAGTAAAGCTTAAAGGTGATGTGTGTAATGTTCTCCCAACTTTGTGCAGAGTGATTCTCAAACTGTGGTTGCGACTTTAGTCAAAAAGACCTAAATAAATAAATTATAAGATGCACCGACATTGAATTAATCAACTAATTAACTTTTAATTTTAAGATAAAGTGTTTCCGTTGACTGTCTTCAATGATTAACATTTATATGTCAGTGTACGTAGGTGTTTGGTCTAATTTCTTAGCAAGAAAACAGTTGGCTCATTTAAGTTTATTAGCTAAAAGTTTCAGTCCTTTCCATAAAATAAGAACAACAGCCTTCTGGCAAATGTATAGAACTGTGGCTCAAGACAGAATCAGTGAAAAGGACATTGAATAAGACCCCTGCTCTTTTCCTTTCACTCTTGAAGCGGTCAACCACCTGAAAACGTTTGAGAAACACTGCTGTAAACACTGGCTCTGTGGCGCTTTTGCTCTGTTTGTTGGGAGTTACGTGTTAACCTTTAGGATCGGTTTGAAATTTGGGGTGGGAGTACCTATTTCAACAATGGAAGACAGGGGGCATCTGACGGTGGCAAAGAAATTACACACTTCACCTTTAAATTAGAGTGAAACTTTGTAATGTGTATTTACCTTGTTATTTCCATTTTTAGCATACACATGCAGCATTATCACTGCTTCATATACGAGGGATTTCTCTCTGGAAGTTTTCGTCCTGATTGTTTCGTTGTACATGCATTCGCTAAACCTTTACATCATTGCACATCTCATAGAAATAGCACACAATCATTTAAATCATTAAATATAAAACCAAAGCACAACTTTCCAGTGACAAAGGCAACTTTTTTTTTTTAATTTGTACACTACTTGTGTTGCCATTAAGATCGAGCACACACTAAGTGCCTCACCATTAACAACAAGCATTCCCAGGTCCAATTCAGGACCACACTAGTTTAAAGAGGTAAAATACACATTATACAGTACAGTGACAGCAGCAGAGGGCAGAGACTGGTTAGTTGAGATGTAATGCAGTCATGTAATATCCGTATCGACATTTTGGCTCAGGTGAGGAGTTTGCAGTCTGAGTAAGAGAAAAAAGGCCAATGTGACCAGTAAAAGTGAGTATAAGGTAGTATCTGATCTGAGACATTTATGATGATAATGAAGAATTAGGAATAGGAGGTCTCCTGCTCCTCTATGTTCTCAGGCTGTGAGGATGCCGATGATCCACACCATCCCTGAGTTCCTAGCAAAAAAACAACAACCCGTGTAGCATTGTGATAAGGTATAAAGCCTTTGGGAGGTCAGAGAAGTGTGTCTGAATGTGCTTCGAAGCAGGTACTTTCAATAATTAACAGTACATCCACAGAGATGGATGCCTTCTTTTGAAAAGGACAACATCTCCAATAGAGGTTTTCCCAAATGGCACCCTCAGCCCTTGGAGTGCGCACACAAATAGTCCGGGCTCAACTAAAGGGTGCAACGAGGGGCATATTGGCGACAAAGGTGGCATCCTTGTAAATCTTGATAAATGGGACACCATATGGTTTCGTGGACACAAAACCGTGTAACGAAAGACAAGGAGACCACAAGCCCACATAGATTTCACCATTTGGATCAGTGGCATTCAAACAGCATTTAAATAAAGTGTTGTCGTTTCAGCAAACATGTAGGGCAATGATAATAGTAGGGGTGTCCAATCCTACTCCAGGAGGGCCACCATCATCTCTAATCTGCTCCAACACACCTTTCTGGAGGTTTCAAGTAACCCTGAATGGCGCGATTAGGTGGTTCAGGTGTGTTTAATTTAGGGTTGTGGATGAACTGCAGGAAGGTGGTCCTCCAGGAGCAGGTTTGGACTTCCCTGGACTATAGTAGGTGTTGTAATAAGGAACGTTGAGTCAGTGTGTGTGGTCCTGCACGGCCCCTGTGGTCCCGGTCAAGGCCACAGGTGTGACTAGGCCATGCAAAGAGCCCATGGTGAGGTAGTTGGTTCTGTGAATATGAGCTAGTAGTGACCCAATCTAGGGTCCTGGGAGATGAGCCATAGTTGCAGGTAAACTCCAACCTTTTAGACCGGCAAATTTGAACCGTAGGCTGAGTGTGGAGTGTGGCTATACGTCTCACTCCTGTCACTGTGGGTCCGTGTGCAAACAGAGAACCTCCTTATGGAAAGGCCTCACTGCTCTGAAGAAAGATGGCTGAAAGTCTGAGCCTTGAAAAGTAAGTAGACAAATCTCCTAAAACATGCTTACAGACTGGGAAACATCTCCGTTTCCCTTCTCCGAATGTTGGAATTTTTTTATACAAGTTCAGTTAATTTTGTAAATCAATTTATGTTACATAAATCCACAAAGGGTCGTTCACACTGACAGCAAATAAATTTCATACGATGAGGTCAGCAAGTCGCCATACTGTTGACTGCTAGAGGGCGTTCTACTTGACTGGTGGTGATGGTAAAGGACTCCAGTGCCTCAGGCCCCTTTTTTCCTCCTCTGACTATCAGATGGGAACATCATCTGCATCATCTCGGTCTTATTTCAATGTTTCACTGAGGTCATATCTAAAGGGATGAGGCGGGTTCTCAAAAATGTCATCATAGTTCATAGTCTACTAAACATTGCTGAGTACTGGTTGTAAGGAGGTTTATTTCTTGTTGTTGTTGACTACTGTAACCCACCACCCTCGGGGGTTCGAAGCAATTGCCTGCCCTTGTCTTTCCAGTAGAACCACTTCTGTACTGCAATATCCAACGGTTTCAGGCAGCGAATCATGTGAGCATCGCTGTCTACACTCCCAGTGGTAGTCGCCACGTGTTGCTGCCTGTCTGCATAAAGTTGAACTAAGCTCGACATTGTTGCATTGCAACTCATGACCTCCTACTTTGCATCAAATCTCTCGTTGAAAATGAATGACATCTGGTACCTACATCACTGCAAATCGCTGTCAGGGTGAGCGCCTCCTTGAAACTGCAAGAGCATAACATTCTCATCGCAGTTATAGTCAAGATAGTTATTCTTTTAAAATGGCAAGATCTTCTCAAATGCCGGGCTGAGAGGTGTTTGGAGCTGTGCTTGTTAGGGAAGCTTCATAAACAGTCCATTGTCAATGGAGGGGACGGACATGGGGAAGGAAAACTGGAATAGATTCATGTCAGCAGTGAGCGCAGCCATTGCAGCAGGATCATGCTCAATCTGGTTTCTCAGCGATGGGTCGATCTTCTCCAAGCGCCGCTTTAGCCTCTTGGCCTCCCTCTCACGGATTAGCCGTGCCTGCCTCTTCTCGGGTGTCTCGTTGGCCCGTTTGAGTCGCATGGCCTCCCGGTCACGCTGTAGACGACGTGACCGCTGTTCATCTGTCTCCTGCATCCTTTGCATCCGCTTTGCCTCACGGTCTCGTAAGCGGCGCACCTCCCGCTCCTCCGGTGTCTCGCATGCCCTCTTGGTCTTCTTGGCCGTTCGCTCGCGTTCCAGCCGCTGCATCCGCATCTCTACGGGCTCGCTCTTCCTACGCATTGCCCATTTCCTCATGGATGGCGACTGGGCATCCACAAGCTGCTGGTAGGCTACGCAGCTGTTGCAGACCAGCAAAACTCCAGCCGGGTACACAGGCATAGGGTTCATGAGGTCTGGAAGAGGTGGAAGGCCTGTGCTGGAAGGACTGAGACTGTCAGATAGTGAGGGAAGAGGAGGTGCAGAAGGGAGAAGTCCATCTGGCAATGAGGTCAGTACAGTACCAGGATTTGTGCTGGGGTTAGTCATAGGGCTTCTGGGTAGAGAGTTGGACATGGCACAGGCCTCACCCTCACTGTTGATCTCTATACTGCTTGTGTCAAGGAATTCCTTCAACTTTCCCCTACAATTTCAGAACAGGAAACTGTTAAGAGAATTGTTTTGGAAAACAATGAAGCATCCTGATTAAATCATGTCTTGAGCTGACCTGTTGAAGTTGTTGGTGTCTGTGAAGCGAGCCCCACACACTGCACAGTTGGACAGACGGTCCTCTGAATGGATGAGAAGATGGCGGCCAAGAGAGCCTGGAGAACTGAGAGCTCGTCCACAAACAGGACAGATATAACTCTTACTGCTACCCACAGCTGTGTGCTGGTCACAGAAAATAAGACAAGACATTTCATAAATAAATTCTTCTCAACTTAAAGGAACAGTCCAAAAATGAAAATGGTCATCCACTAAATCTCATGTTGTTCCAAACTTATTTGACATTCTATCTTCCGGACAGTTTTAAATAATGTACTGGTCATTTTTCAGCATTTAAAATGGGGATTAGAGTTTTCAAGCTTCAAAAATGGCCAAAAGTAGCTAACTTATCATTTAAGGTAGTCTCCATTCATCATAAATGGTTTGAAAAGAGTGATCAGTACTTTATTCAAAATTTCTCCTCATGGAAGAAAGTTAGAATGACATAAGAATTATTTTAAAAAAAATTGCTTAAGGCTAGAATACACTACATAACTTTTGCACAGATTTTGGCTCTGATTTGCAGTCTGGAGGAGCTATCGCTAGTTGCAGAAAGTCCGAGCCAGTCTGCAAATTTCATAGTCATAGTTGACAGATTTCACAGACGATCACATAGTGTAGGATGGGCACAGACTCTGTCTTTTTTTAGCTGAGTTTGTTCAGGACAACTTCTGGTAGTATATGATCTTCAGTCATTTAGTGTATGATGCTCGGTCTTTGTCTGTTACCATTTACAAAGTCAACAAGTGTTCAGATTTTAAAAGTTGTGTAGTATATTTCAGCATTTAGATGTGCTTCACAATCGGCTCCAAATGCAGTTTGAGTGATCTGATAACAAAACGTCTTTGTCTCGAGATGGTTTTTAATACCAGGTGTTAACAGAGTCTAAAATATACTAGAGGCTTCAGTAGTCCTCACCTGGTAGACATGTGCGATGAGCTGATCTGGGCTACTGAACTCCAGGGAACAAAGCGGACAAGCAAAAATTCCTCCCTGGTCTGTCCCCTCCTCGCTCTCCTATCAGACATAATGAACCAACAAACAGTTAAAAGTTTAGAGTAACAAGACTTAAAGTCTGAAATGTAGTGTCATATTTTAAATGGTATGATTGAACACAAGTGAAGTGACAAAACTGATAATGACTAGCTGCAGATGACAGATGCAACACTGGTGTGGTGTGGCAGACAAATGGATCCATAAGCCTTTATGACTCATTCCAACTGTCATTTAAACTGGGTTGCTATAGAGCCATTTTTGTCACCCTACAAAAATATACCCTTAAAGATGTGATGAAGAATTTCTAATGCTTTACACCTCAAAATGTATGTAAATAAAATGACAATTATATAGACCTTATGTAGCCCTGCCGCTTTTTAGCATTGCACTCGTTGTGTTCTGTCTTCCGGTTTGTATTTCCACAGCATGAAGGTAAGATCTTACGGATTTATGAATGTACCGCTAGTTTTAAAATCTTCCCACTGGCATTTATGACATCCGCTTCAAACATCAATCATGATAACTTTCATTAACTCTACAAGTAAATCCACTTCACCAGCTAATTACTCTTCGACAGCGATGCCATAGAAATATACAGAGCTACCGCAAACACGGAAGTTCAAAGAGAGAATTCTAAAGATGGCTGCACGCTTGTTTCTCTGACGCATAAGGTCTATACCGTACCTTTTCATTAAATTTAAAATTTTCTGATTTCAGAGTGTAAATCTGTTACCAATCTAAAATGTCATCTTTTTCAACAGTATAAACATGTCAAATTAACACTTAAGTGGCTTAAAAACAACAAATTAAAAAGATACTCTGTCTTCATTCAAAGCGGTCAACTCAATCTACTCAGAATCTGTGGGAATTTGAAAATATGAATCTTATGAGTATATGTCTCTAGGTAGTATCTGACCACAAAAATCCAGAGAAATAGAAATATATATTTGCATTAAATTTAACTATTTTAATGGCAAAAGACAAATTTAAGCGTTCAGTACATTACCTTGATGTATACATACAATTATTATGGTTGGCCAAAATCACATATGAAAAGCATGCAAGGCTGGTAATTTTTCCCCAATTTTTTTTTTATTTCCCCAAAAAATAAATAAAATGTGGGTAGTTTACATTTTAATTTTAAGGTTAGAATATCTTTTTTTAAAAATAAATATATATATATATATACACACACTCACCTAAAGGATTATTAGGAACACCTGTTCAATTTCTCATTAATGCAATTATCTAATCAACAAATCACATGGCAGTTGCTTCAATGCATTTAGGGGTGTGGTCCTGGTCAAGACAATCTCCTGAACTCCAAACTGAATGTCAGAATGGGAAAGAAAGGTGATTTAAGCAATTTTGAGCGTGGCATGGTTGTTGGTGCCAGACGGGCCGGTCTGAGTATCTCACAATCTGCTCAGTTACTGTGATTTTCACGCACAACCATTTCTAGGGTTTACAAAGAATGGTGTGAAAAGGGAAAAACATCCAGTATGCGGCAGTCCTGTGGGCGAAAATGCCTTGTTGATGCTAGAGGTCAGAGGAGAATGGGCCGACTGATTCAAGCTGATAGAAGAGCAACTTTGACTGAAATAACCACTCGTTACAACCGAGGTATGCAGCAAAGCATTTGTGAAGCCACAACACGCACAACCTTGAGGCGGATGGGCTACAACAGCAGAAGACCCCACCGGGTACCACTCAAATAAGAAAAAGAGGCTACAATTTGCAAGAGCTCACCAAAATTGGACAGTTGAAGACTGGAAAAATGTTGCCTGGTCTGATGAGTCTTGATTTCTGTTGAGACATTCAGATGGTAGAGTCAGAATTTGGCGTAAACGGAATGAGAACATGGATCCATCATGCCTTGTTACCACTGTGCAGGCTGGTGGTGGTGGTGTAATGGTGTGGGGGATGTTTTCTTGGCACACTTTAGGCCCCTTAGTGCCAATTGGGCATTGTTTAAATGCCACGGCCTACCTGAGCATTGTTTCTGACCATGTCCATCCCTTTATGGCCACCATGTACCCATCCTCTGATGGCTACTTCCATCAGGATAATGCACCATGTCACAAAGCTCGAATCATTTCAAATTGGTTTCTTGAACATGACAATGAGTTCACTGTACTAAAATGGCCCCACAGGAGCCAGATCTCAACCTAATAGAGCATCTTTGGGATGTGGTGGAACGGGAGCTTCGTGCCCTGGATGTGCATCCCACAAATCTCCATCAACTGCAAGATGTTATCCTATCAATATGGGCCAACATTTCTAAAGAATGCTTTCAGCACCTTGTTGAATCAATGCCACGTAGAATTAAGGCAGTTCTGAAGGCGAAAGGGGGTCAAACACAGTATTAGTATGGTGTTCCTAATAATCCTTTAGGTGAGTGTGTATATATACTGTATATATATATAATATATATATATATATATATATATATAAATTAAAAACATTTTTAGGACTTTTTGCTAATTAAATTGCAAATCATTAAAATAAGACTGGTCAAGGCTGAATAGTTTTGCGAGGCTCTTTACAGTGAATAAAGTGAGTTGTCTATGAAAAAGCTTGTCATGCAAATCATGTGATAAAAGAAGAATGTAAGATAATCACAACAATCTACTTCGTACATTAAACGCGCATAACTCACCTCCTTGACGTCATCCTGTAGTATGAGGCCATGGCCTCTCTTATTACTCATCATGCTGTAATCAGCAGAGGCATTTGAGGAGTCATCCTTATCAAAGTCACTATCACAGTCATCTGGCATACAGGAAAAAAGTTAGTTCATAATATAATCGACAGTGCCATCACAGGTCACCTTGCTTTTGTTTTCTAAGTCTCAACACTGAACAGAACAATCACAGTTGTCTTCCTGGATTTTTAATATTTTATGAGCAGTAAGCAAATATACAAATAAATTCAGACAGCTGTCGTGAGTTGCCTTTGAAGCCGTGTAGCTCACCACTTGTGCTGTCTTGCTCTTCAGGTTCCTGTGAGTTGTTGCTATGGCATTCGCCGTCTTCAATGAAGTCATCTCTAGCGTCCATCTCAAAAGCGTGCTGAGGGCCGGACAACCCAGTCGTGTGAAAAGGCCCTGTGAGTGAAACAACACAGTCACTGAGAATACCTCGATATATACTGTATAACTAGTTTTTGAGTGGTGCTTGCGAGTATAAAACACTGCTTTGGTTGCCAGGGCATTGCTATGCAGTTGCTAAGGTATTTTGAGTTTAGTACATTTCTGGGTGGTTACTAGGGTGTTGCTTACAGGCTCATGTTAGTTGCACCCAGCAAGTCTCCATGATATTCTAATCTCGGGTCCCTTTACTGTAAGTCTGTAGAATTGTTTGTCTTTTTAATGCCAAAAATATAGATTTAAAATTTTAATTAGAAATTTCATTCATGACTGTACCACAAATAGTGTGGGACAATTTACATGCCGAGCATTAATATTAATTTTAGGGATATTTCACCCTAAAATGAAAATGTCATTCCAAAGTTGTGGAGCACAAAAGACATTTAGAGTAAGGAAACAGCCATAAGACATCATGAACGGGTTGTATGACACATTTGCTTCAAACATTTTATTATAAAATCAACAAAAACATATTGAGTTGTTTCTGATGTAAAAAATAAGTTACCAGTAAGCTTAAACTTGTTAAAAATAAAAGGGGCTATATGTAAGAATTTATGTATTAATTGCTTTTTGTATTGCCAATGTGGGAACAGCTTGTAACAAAACTTAAAAAATGAGACCTTCCCTGACTTCCTAGGTTGTCTATGCAAGCCTGTATTTTTAAATGAAGGACTCTAGACTGTTTCACCGGGAAAATCCAAACGATGTGAAGGTTACATGCTCCAGAACGCCACTCTTCAATGAGCAGGCTAGCTCTTTTGCTGCACAATGAGTCCGATGACTGAGCAAGGGCCGTGTGCTGGAAAGAGTGTGTGAACTTCAAAATGAACTTTGTTCATTTTTAAGCAGCCTTCAAAGCCAAAAGGCAGAGACATTTCTGAGGTTTTTGAACGACAACACAGAGATGGCATTCGTGCATTTTTTGTGCGATGATATGTCTTGCCTAAATCACCTTAATTTGAAATTGCAAGGCAAGAACCACACTATTGCTGACATGTACGAAGCGGTTGAAGCTTTTCGTTTAAAGCTGACCCTTTTTGAGCGGGATCTTCAAGGGAGAAAGCTGCACTTTCCGCATTTACAACAGCATTGCGAGAAACACCAGGTGCAAGAGGACCCGTTAATGCACGACTTCGTGATGAGACTGGCAGAAAATTTAAAGGAGCGATTTCAGAGCTTTAACCTGTCAAGTGAACTCCTTCTCTTCCTAAGATGGCTATTTTCAGTCCCAGCAGATGGACAATGGACGCCTGGTTTCATCCTTAGATGAAGCATCTTTGCAGATGGAGATTTTGGAAATGTCAAAGTCTGATTTGCTCAGAGAGCAACACAAGGAGGCTAGTGTGAGCGACTTTTGGTCAAAAGTGGTTTCTCAAGCTAAATTCAAGAACAGCAGAATTATTGCAATGTTCCTTCTTTCAATGTTCCCATCCACTCACATCTGTGACTCATCGTTTTCTATAATGAACATCATCAAGAACCAGGATAGAAACAGACTGTCCACTGTGCATCTTGATCAGTGTCTCAGAATTGCTACAACAGAAGATAGCCCTAACATCAGAGGTATTGCTTCAGCCTGTCGCTGTCACTTCTCTCATTGAATGGTGAGTACATGCCAGTTAATACTTTTAGTTTGATCCAAGTAAGAACAATAAAATATGAATGCTGATACATCGAATAATTGAATCTGCTATTAGGGAAATTGATGAGAAGAGATCCAGTGTGGTGATGAGCAGGATCAGGATCAGACTCCCATGCAGACATGGAGATCCAGAGTTGTTTGTTCATTTGTTTTTAATATGTTTTTAATATCCACCATGCAAAGTTCTTTAGTTTTCTGTACCTGAATACAAAAATGCTCATAATTGCTTTGTGATAACATTGTGGTCGGTGGTCCTTGGCTTTGTATTGTCGGCAGAATGGCCCTTGGTAAAAACTAATTGAGGATCCCTGGTTTAAACAATAATTTTGGTATCTTGACAATGTTCAGTAATAATTCATGAGATGAAACAACTTATACTTGTTTATTTAAATAAGGCATTATGAAAGCAATATAATGCCTTAAGAATACCTTTATAATGCATTATAAATACAGGCTTCATTGAAACTGTTACCAAAAAGAATCCTGGATGCAGTGTTGCAACCCACCAAAAAGGCTGAATCTGATTGATTTTCCCTTTGAATTTCAAAGAAAAGACTGTATATCAACAACAAGGGCAACTAGGTCCAGAGATGCAGGTGTGCTCCGTCTACAGAACAATAGTTGATGCTGCATTATTAACACATTACAAACAAGCACACTCCACCTCACGCTCACCAACCCCCACGTTACTCGCTGAACCCACAACATGCACTGCAACATGCACATAGCCCTACTCTGCAGTCCCAGAGGAAACAGCCTGCATCTCCTGCGCGGCGAGTCCGTGCCTCTAATGTGAGAATCATCTCCTCCAGAGCACTCTATACGCCCACACGGAGCTGCTTCCCACCCAGCATGCATCCCATTACTGCCATCCACCAAACACCTTCTGCGAAGCCGCTTTAATGAGTAACATGAACGGCAACCGGCATACCAATAAAACCAGATTTGAATGTTTTCTGATGAAAATGAGTAATGAGTGCAACATGCTACAGTGTTCTGGGAGGTTGACTCTAGATATGAATCAGATCCCTGCTTCAAAGATCTATGGGATATTTTTACCACCTGTTTTTCTGTTTTATTGTCCATCAGGCAAACATTTTGTGTGATCTCTTATAAATGTAACATCAAAGCTTAATATGCTTAAGTTGTGACATATCGACCTTATGATAACGCCATTTCCGTGAATAATCGTTTGAAACAAGCGCTTCATTCATAAATCCGTCATGCAAACCGGAAGACAGAGCACAACTACCACAGCGCTTAAAAGGGGTGGGGTTACATAAGGTCTATATTATTAGATATGTTATGCCTATTTTACACAACCAGTTACTTTTATGTTTACTCACAAATGCAACTAGAATATAACACAAACATTAAATTGGACTCCCTGAAAGTTGCAAACCCTGTATCCACCCCCCCCCCCCCAAAAAAAAAATCAACTTGCCCATGAGATCATCAATCATCTGATGACAGCTTATTAATGGCATATGCAGTGAAATATGCTCTCTTAAATGTGCAAATCACATCAAAATGAGGTACTCCTGATACTTTGGGTTACGGATTTGTTAAAATCCTTAAAAGGTTAGTACACACAAAAATTAATATTCTGACCATGTAATAACCCTCATATCATATCGTTCCCAGCCTGTCTGACTTTCTGCGCAACTGCGCAAGAATCTTGGTAACCAAACAGTTCTGGTAACAATTAAATTCCATTGTACACTCTTAAAAAGAATGGCTCTTTGGTTCAATGAAAAACCTTTAACCTCCATGGAACATTTCCATTGCACAAAAGGTTCTTTATAGTAGAAAAAGATTATTCAAATATTCAAAGTTATTTTATGAAGAGTTAACTGAAAGGGTTTTGTGGAACTGAAAAATGATTCTTCTTCATTAATAAAGGGTGCATTCAGACTTGGCATGTTAAAACGAACTCTGGTGCGATTGCTGTTGGTGCGGTGTGTAAACGCTGTCATCCGAACCCTGGTACGCACCAAACAAGTGGACCGAGACCGCTGAAAAGATGGGTTTCAAACTAAATCTGGTGCCGTTCGACTAAAATATTAACTCGACGACACGCACCAAAGACATAAACCAACCAAAAACGGGACATGGTGTCACAAGATGTGACCCTCAAGCACACCTGTTTTTTGCCCATCACAGTTCGGTACATGCATCAGACCCGCGTCTCCTTGCAGATCTTGGTTTGTGACGGAGGGATTCCTGCCGCTGTTTTGACTCCTTTACACATTTTATAAGCTCTGCGCACATACAACAAGCGCATTTATCCCAGCACACAGCATTGTTTTGGCTAACCGGTAAGTTCAGACGCAATACGTAATAAAAAAAGCCAATCAATCAGGTTTAACATATCCATATGCCTTTAGGTTTGGTGTTAAAATGCCAATGTGAACGCTAAGCGGACCAGGACTAAATGTTTTTTTTTGGTCCGGACCGAGCGAACCGAACTACAAATGTGAACACACCCTAAAATAAAAGTTCCAAAGGGTGTTTTTGCAGCAATGCCATGATGAACCATTTTTGGGACCTGCAAAGCACCTTTCAGTGTAAAGTTCTTAAAAGAACCATTTTTTTCTTAAGTTTTAGGGTCTTTGTAGAACCACTAATGCCGATAAGAAAAGAAAAAAATACTTGAGACATTTCTCAATATCTTATTCTAAGTACCACAGAATAAAGAAAGTCATATAGGATTGGAACGCCTTTAAGTTGAGTAAATAACAACTGAATTTTTAAGTATGAGCAATGGTAATAGTGGCGTTTGCCTTATCAAGGCAACCGATATATTAGACCAAGTTCAACGAGGACTAGAATCGGGTTTTTCTAGTGTCGCCGTGCAGACCTTCAGGAAGCTTTATTCTATATTTGAGCTCAGAGACCATTTCAGGAATGACTCCACCACATGTCGTTTTTCCATCTGAAAAACAATAGCCGCCTGATGCAATATTTTACATCCACTAATCATTAAAGGAGGTTGTCAAGAGTTCCCTACTTTCCAAGCATCCTCTGGACAGTTTCAAAGAGTGTTTGGGGGCATCTACAAGGACAGAAGATTTTGCATGAGAGATATAAGCGCTAAACTACGAAAGGCTACAACAGAGCGGCTTCACGGCAGTCAGCCCGTGATTGATGGAAGAGAGTTACCCCTCCCCCACTGCCAGTTCTGTCTGTACATCTGTCTCTCCACCCTCCCTCCGTCTTCTCCCTTCCATCCACCCTCGCCCCCCCTCTGTGTGCCACTGTGATGTTATCTCAGAGTCTGTGTGTCTGTAGGCAGGAGGTGACGCAGTGTCTGTCTGAATCCAGACAAAGAGACAAACTCATCATCCAACAGACACATGAGAGAAAGGGTAAAGTCAGAGGAGGGGGGTGGGAACGAAACAGACAAACAGAGGCAAAACTTAACTCGGATACCAAACAATGAGAGCACTCCTGAATTCAAACCATCCCTCTCCCACAGCCCCACCAATCCAACAAATACTGAGAACAGGCAGAGGACGGGGCCCTCGCACACTGTCTAGTTTGGTGGGGTTGAAGAATGGTCATTGACAGACATCAGATAAACCCAGACAACCAATTCAGGACTCACTTTGCCTAACTGACAAAAGCCAGGCATGATGGAAGGGCAAGATCAGTCATACATGTTCCCATGGAATGAAATTTCCCACATTTCCCCCAGTTTCTAGTACCAAGTATCAATTTGGGAGAGAAAAGACGGAGCATTACTGTAACGTTTCAGTCTTTCATCAGGTCTGAAAATCTTTACCTCATGTCTGCAGATAAATATGGTACACTTCTTGAACACAGCTGGAAACTAATATTTTCCATTGCAAAAAAAGTTCTTTATGGTGGGAACCAAAAAAAGTTATTCTATGGCATTGTTACATACGAAACTCCCCTTTCTGAACCTTTTCTGAAGAGTTTATGAGTGGCCAAACTGTTTCCATATATTACCCTGCTCTTTAGAATATTTAATTCTGATTTATTAAAAGTGGAATTCAGTAACATTTCTAAATAATGACCACTGTAACACTGGAAACCTGTTTCTTAGATAGCCATGATTGTGTCCTGTCACAGCACTGTCTCTACAAGTAAAGTACAACAATTTTACTATTTAAAATCTATATTAATTTATTTTGTAATTAACTGTGTAATAAGAGATATAATGTACAGCTTGAGCGAATGACTGTACATTATTCCGTACATTTAAATATGTTTTATGTTGTACATTGCTACAAAGGAGATCAGAGGATGAGTTAATGCTCATACTATGCAACCACTGATAAAAAAATAACATTTATGGAAACTAGGAAAGAAGCATTCATCTTTAATTATTCAAGCAAGACAATAAATTAAGAAACACACACACACACACATATATATTATACAAATAATTTGTGTAGTAAATTAATATGTAAACTAGTTCTATCAAAACGACTAGGCTAGACTAGTCACGATTAATCGCATCTAACAAAAGTTTGTGTATTTAAATATATATTAGTGGTGTCAAATTGATTAATCGTGATTAATCGCATCTAACTTAAACATTTGTTTATATAATATATGTGTGTATATATATATATATATATTTATATGTATATAATATATATATATATATAAATGTGTGTGTGTGTGTATATATATATATATATATTAGGGCTGCACGATTTGAGGAAAATGTCATATTGCGATTAATGAGGTCAATATTGCGATTGCGATATACTAAACAAATGGTTTCATGAGTCAACTTGCTTGGTTCTAAAGTAAAATGCACACACAGATTAGTGATCATTCTGTGTATTAATGTGTATTTCTCAACTCAAACTAGCAACAACAACTAAATAATTGATAACACCTATAATGATAAATAAACCATTGATGTCTGGATAAAAAGGACAACACCCCCCCCCCCCCCCCCCCCCCCCCACATTTTAAACGTTAAGCAACATTACAGTGATTCCATCAATACAATTGAAAGCTATCAACTTTTAAAATATTTATAAGGCTTAAAAAAAAAAATAACAGCTTTTAAATTAAGTGAACTTCAAACAAACCTCACATAAACCCATAATAAATGCCATATTTACCTGTGCCCATTGAGGATTTATATACAGATTTATATACAGAAATCGAATAAAGTTATCAAACAGTCTGCGCTGCATGAATTATAAATTATATATAGACTAATCCTTATTAAAGCTACAAAACTTCTTTAGTCAAGAGCAGTGAGTAATTTTCTGTTCGCTTTGTTCTTTGATTAACTTTAATTACGGAACGCTTTATTCGCTGCTGGCCCTTTAAGAGCAGCCGTTGCCGAGACGCGTATCTCACACGCGCCTCATTCTCTCACAAGCACAACTCTTTTCGTCCATCATAAGACTGCTCTTATGTTATGAAGATAATCGACAAAACGACATTGTGGCATAATTGTGTGTGTTATTGTTCGTTCAAGCTCGAAAGAGAACTGTATTCTGGCACCCGGTCTGTGCATGCGCATTATAGCCTACTGGCGCGTGTTTTTCTGTGAGTCACATTCAGGACATTCACAGGCAGCGCGCTCTCTTTTGACTTCTTGTCGTACAAAATGGTTTTAAGGCATTTGCACGAAGAGCGGGATCATGTAACACTAGTCAAAGGATGACAAAAAAGAAGGGATGCTGCGTTAATAGCCCTAATTTGTTTATTTAATATAAAATCGCGGCATTTTGCGTTATATAATCGCATAGGTTTGACATCGCGATTACGATACGATTAATCGTGCAGCACTAATATATATATATATATGCACAAACACACATGTATATAAATATAATAATATACACATATATTTTATAAAAAAACGTTTGTTAGATGTGATTAATCGCGATTAATCGATTTGACAGCACTCAGAATTCAGATAAAGTTCTTATGTTATCCAGGTGAAATCAGATATCAAACAGTTAGGCCTACAGTAAAAAAGATGAAAAACTTATTGAAAGCATACAGAAAAGGTGTATAGGCTTTATTTAGACTGGTTGCAATATTTTGCACAGGCGGTTTATATTTAAAGACTATTATTTAAGGTTATATGTTTCACTATCTCTTCTCAATTACATCAGTGTGATATCATCAGAAGTGCGTGCATGTGAGGATATTGTATGTACAGAAACATCTTCAGGGTTCAGGAATAGGGCTATATTTCGTGAGGTTCATTTACAGTCTCTCGATTCGGTTTTACGCAAGCTGATTTCGTGACCATGTTGTGATGATAGTGTGTGTGAACGCCTGGCCTCTGGCTGTTGTCCTCGTACAGTAAAATGCGGATGTAAGACTTCACCAAAGCAAACAACTCAATGCCACAGAGTATCATGAGGACTCGGGCTTCCCTACATGATGGTCACTATCACCTCCAGGAGACAAAACGCCTGATTTTGTACGAACTAGTAAATTAAAAGTGTTTACAATACCTGGGATACCTACAATTCACTTTGAAAGGGTTGGTCTGTTTTCGTCTTGACATATTATCCCCCACTCCCGGATGAAAAAAGTCGAATCTCTTCTTTGATCCGACTGATGTGTGAAGATGTTTCTGGACAATCCGAAGGGAAATGTTTTAAAGCAGACAACAATCCAGAAACAAAACGCTCCGAGCGGGCAGAACTGAGCACTAATCGGCTACATTGGCCAACGCGATTAGGTTCATTTGACTAAAAGACAATCAAAGATTACTTCTGCGTAAACAGACATCTTGGTCTTGGTCGGCGATAAGAGCGCGTTCATGTCGATAGAGGTCGGTTTCCAAACATAAGAGATCGGGAAAGATGTGAGGAGATGATGTGAAAGCCTGCGCCAATGTAGCCAGGCAAATACACTGCAGAGAATCTCCACCGACATGCATTTCAAGCGATGAGCAGAAGTGAGAAGAATGACTAATTTTATATCATCTGCCTTCTCCTGCTCATGCGCGAAACACTGTGTTCCTACAGGGGGCGCTCTGCGGCTCACAAGACCCACTCACCCGATCAAAAACATTGAAATCTCAGCAAGTGTTTTGTCTATTTACAAACATTTGTCCACGTATAAACAGTATCATTTATATCTTATAATTTTACCTGTTGGTATTTTCATTTCATTTTCCGAATAAGCAGTGGTTGGTTCATCCACAACAGCGCTGAGAAAAGTAACAGTCGCGCGAGCTCATCTTCATCTTGGATCAGTACAAACAGTGAGAAAAGTAACATCCAAAGTGGCTGATACTGGCTAGTGCCTATAATATACAAACTGTATATATATATTATCCTTCTTTGCGCTTTTCTCCACCTCTTTTTTTATATTCACAATTTTTGAAAATTTCCTTTCTAACAGTTTTTTCATTTCTATGATTGTAAGCCTGTTTGGTTTCTAAAAGAAACAACGAGACGCATTGTGGGATACACGTACGTTAATGTGGAGGACAATGCCGTTTTTCTTCAGTTAGGCTATATAAATGTGGCCTACTCGATTAAAACATCTATCTATCTATCTATCTATCTATCTATCTATCTATCTATCTATCTATCTATCTATCTATCTATCTAAATAGCAAATATTTTGTATAGCTTATGCCAGTATAATTACTACTTAATAGTAATTTCTAAACTACCATAAGATTAGATAGAACTTTATGGACATATATTTGTGTACCTTTTTGCTGAAAAAGAATAAAAACACTTTTTAATATACATGTAATTGTTAGACAACAGTAATACTTCTCAGTCATGCATTTGCAATAATTTTTAGGGATATAAAAGAGATATTTGATAGGGGTGTAACATTATCCTCATGTCATGATTCGATATATCACGATACTGACCTTTTTACGATTTTATTTTGATACTCCAGGACATATGGTAAAAGGTTAACAAAACATGTACTGGTGATTAAAATGCTAAATTTGGTATTCCATTCGTTGGGGAAATGAGCTTGGACTTGGTGCTGATAAGTTAACCCAATGCACCAGACAAAAATATTAATGATCCTGAAGCTGAAAATACAGAATTATTTTAGACGAATGCTTACACTCTGTCACTGACTAGATATAGGCTATTTAAAATAATGTAGGCCGCTTTTTACTGGTAACAGAAGACATTTGGCAAATATTAAATTTTAATCTGACACTTAAACTCTGTAAACCTGAATTATTTCTCACACAGTAATTTTCATTTTGGGTAAACTAATATAAGGACTATCCACGATATATTGTTGCATTTTTGTATTGTGCACTGTATATTTTAGCAATGTGTTACTGTAAACAGAAAACATTCCATGCCATATATTTATGATGTATGTCTGACAGATTTTGATAATTGAATGGATCATTTTGCATGTGATTGCTCACATGATGAAAGAATGTTTAAGAGTTATTATGACAGTTTTACTGAGAATCAGCTAATCTGTTTTGATCAGCATGTGCATTGAGTTGGAGATGTGCATACATGGAGACAATTTTGCACACTTGCCAAAATGTGTAATTTGAAATATTTTTTAAATGTGATGTGAACAAGAAACTATTTGTTCAGAGATCTGAACTTACTGTTTTGAGAAATATAATTGAGAGAATTAAATATAGTTATAGGCTATATAAGTAAATATATTTGTGTGTTATTATAATAATAATGTAATTATATATATAAAAAAATGCTAAACAAAAAAACCCTGAATAGAATTCACGTTTATACATGTATCATTAATAATTGAAAAACCCATGTAACTTAAAATCAGCATGAAACAGAAGTTGCTTTAGTTTTTTCTTCCAGAATGTGATGTATATACAGGTGAAACGGGTTCTCGAACAAGCAAAAATGTAGGGCAGCACTTGATTTTGTCCATGGGGAATTGATTGGATGGTTGTGGTTTGCTATTTGTGGATCTTATGTGAGTGACAGGTTATTGCCCCACCCTCGCACCAGTAAACACAGAGATGTCGCTGCAAGAGGGAGGGGAAGTTATTTTGAATATAAATTATGGATTTAAAATAAATTATGTGTATGGATGAATCATTTATAATAAAAACTGCAATATGCTTTTTCCATACATTTTTTTTAATCAATTTTGATTTCATTGTGACTTTAATAGAAAGTCAATATATTCCAGATAATATTTAAATAATTTGCTTTGGCTTTAGTGTCGTGACAACATAAAAGCCAGTTATTCGACTTTGGAAATGACATGCTGCAATACTTCACAACAAAATTCCTCGTCAGGTCGACCAAACGACCCCTGGCTTACTAAAGAGAACCAGTTCAGTGACTCCCAAAGGAAGTGCCACAACATTGCACGCTGACGTCATCACTGACTGCCACGAGGTGAGGTAAGACCGCAGCACGGCTCTTTCACGGCAAGTCATCCGCCGAGCTGACACGTAGATCAGCGTTAAAATACAACTGTAATCGATTGACATAATATGAAATCGGGCACAGTATCACGAGTTTTCCAGTGAGCACAGCTTGGGATTTATATATCTTGTTATATTACTTGATAATAAACCACGTCTATGAAAAACGTATTCCTTATTTCTATTGTCTTTATAGGCTACTTAAAAACGCTAATAAATGTTGTCAATACTCACAAACTCACAGCATCCTTTACTATCAGAGCTTATTTATAAATAAAAATAATAATAATTTATAAATAATAATTAAATAATAATTATACAATAAAAACTTTGAGGTTAAGCATTGAGTATTTTTTACATTTCGAAGATTTGTTTTGCCCATAACAAATATAACATACGATTTATAGTCTACAAAAAAAGACAGTAGAGGATTCATACCTAAAATGGGCATGTATGTATAAATAAATTACTAAGTTAACAATGTACTGAATCCGAGAGTTGGTGTTGTAATAAAGAAAAATAACTGAAAAGGTAGGATATTTTAGCGACAGGTGGGCGGGGCCTATAACTTGTACCAATTTTTTTTAACACAAACACAAAAGATGTTCAATGGCCTCTTTTGTGTCACAGAAACAGCTTTTTTTGTGGGGAAGAGACCCAATCATATTCCAGTTGACATTGGATAATGCCATCCATTGAAAATAAACTGTCATACTACCAGAGCTTTTTTTTAAACGCCATTATTCATGCCCAAAACAACTCAATTTTGAAATTATAAATTGTATTTGGAATTGTACCAACAAATAAAGACATAGAAAAGCATATATATGAGATTAAACGTTGGGAGTATTTTTTTTTGAGATTTCAAAGAATTTCTGTTCCCATAATAATACTACGAGAGCAGGCGCGCCTTCTTACATCCGCATTTGAAGTTCGGAACATCAGTTATGTAACCTTCCGCCTGCGGTAGAAGTGCTGAGGCTGGGACCGCCGCCATTTTGAATGTCTGGTCCGTTCCTCCTTCCGTCGATTGAGAAGATTGCACTTGTTTTCTGGTATCGTAACGGCTGGTGAGTCAAACCTTATTTTAACCGTTTAAACGATATAAGTTATGACTGGTACGTTCTAAGCTGCTCGTTTTTATTTGGGTTAGGTAGTTTTGACTCTGTTCTGCATAGGAAGTGGAGCGCACAGGCTAAAGCTAAAGCAGCTCGCGAGCCTCTCGCTCGGTGGCGGCGCTCTGCGCGTGCACCGGGACGCTGTCATTCGCTCGAGCGCTAACGGTCGCCCCTCGCTAAACTATCATTCTCGCTGTATTTCCACAACGACGTTCCGCTACCGGGCGTGAAATTACAATTACACTGTAGTTTATGAACGTTTCAGTTGGTTTAAAGTAGAGGTGTGTGTTTAATCCTCCGTCAAACCGACGCTCAATTTGAGGCCTGATGAGATTCCAGTCAGTTAGCAACGGACACGCAGCACTTCATTCACCGACATTACGAAGGAATAACAGCGGTACTTAATACTTCGTAAGGTTTGATTATATTCGTGAAAAGTACCCGTTTTTTAACCATAGCGTAATGTCGTCTCATCTCAGTGTTTATCATTTAGCTTAGCACTAATGGCTTGACGTTATAGCGCAAGTGGATGGGTCTAGAAACATAAACCTTAAACAATCTCTCTGAATACGATAAATAAAACAGTCAGGGTGAAAATGAAGTAGTGGTTAAGGTCAAGAATACGAGGTGTATGATGCCACTTGTGTGTGTTTTAGACTTTAGTCAGCAGGTGGGTTTGAGAGAGATGTGAAATCGTTCTTGATGTTGAACTCCATACATAGTATGTTGTTAATGCTGTTTAAAGTGTTGTCTCTGTCATATCTTTACACCCGTTTTGCTGGTGGTGGATATGAATGACGTGTTGGCATCTCTTCATTGTGATTGTGGAGTAAGGTTACAGAAATAAAGGAAGTGACCGTCTGTAAACGTGTCCTCCCAGTCACTGCTGCAGTTTGCATGATTCCTGGCTTAGATTTGCATTCTCTGTCCACGCCAAGAGTTTTCTTTTGTCAGTTTTTTTTTTTTGGTTAATGAATAATTTAAAGGTTGCACCTAAGAATTAATTTTCAATCTATTATTAGACTATGAAAGGTTTAGTTCACCCATAAATTATCCCATCATTTACTCACCCTCAAGCCATCCTAGGTGTGTATGACTTGCCTCTTTCAGGCAAAAAATATTCTGGCTCTTCCCAGCTTTGTAATGGGAGTGAATCGTACCACCGATTTTGATACCGAAAAAAGCGTCCACCCATCATAAAAGTAAGCAATACGGCTCCAGGGGGTTATTAAAGGCCTTCTGAAGCGATGCATTTTTGTAAAAAAAATATCCGTATTTATAACTTTATAAACTATAATCACTAGCTTTCGGTTTCAGCTGTACCCAAGTCGAGTTCTGGCGGAAGAGTGACCTTTGACCCGACGTGTGACATATGATGCAGGAGTAGCGTAAGCTTAGGTGAGAGTAGACTCCTTTTGTACTTCAACAGGGCAGGGCAACAAACTCAAGCTACTCCGAAATTTCTGACTAACTTAAGCTCCTCTGACATTTCTTTTTAAAAATTCTCGTTTTAGACTTTAGACAAATTTTTTACTGGTGTTTTGTTTTGCTCTATCCTCTGCGCTTCCGCATTCGTCAATACGTCAGGGTCCGAGTTCAATCTTCGGCCGGAACTCTGGAAGCCAGTGATTATAATTTATACATTTTATTTATACTTAAAAATAGACACAACTTCTCCATGAATCTTTCAAAACGTTGCATCCAAATCCTTATAAAAAATACTTAATTTACAAATGAAAAAAAGCCCAACATAAATAAAGTGCTAAGAATTAAAAGACATCTGTCAGTAATACAAATGTCCATGATTGCTGATTGCTGTTCGCGGTCACTATTTTCGATTTTGGATTAACAACGGCATTTGCTTACAGATGTGTGAGTCTTGAAATGTTCGTTCAGCAGATTAAAGTGTTTGCTTGAATATATATCTGAATGATAGCCAAAACTGTATCGTAAATCGGGTAACCAAACAGACAGTAGTAAAGATAGTGGTGTCCATTACACCAGGAAGTTTGTTTACATTTGACTGGACTATTCAATAATTTTGTCCATTCACAGTGTGAGTTTATTCATCAGATATTTTAAATAACAAGTGCTTTAAATGCTTTGTAACCAAGTGCAAAGAGTACCAGATCTTCTGATGAGCGCAACTCATTATAAGATGAGATTCTCATCCGTGGAGTTGACAGGTTCTATTTGTGTTTTTTATACTGTAAATAATGGACAACGCAAGCCGTTTACCATTCTTTACATTGAATTAGTATCCTTTGAAAATGTTAATAAGAGTCCCACACTTAAACATTTGGTTTGTTTGTTCTCATACTTTTATCTTCATAACTTTACTGTAGACCTTTATCCAAAGCAGCACTAGTTTACTGGAGAAGGCCACCAGCAGCGGTATGTTACTAGTATTGATGCTACTAGTTTTTTGATTCATTTATTACTACTACCAAATAATCTTAATAGTTACTATCTTTTTCAATTTCATGTGCAATTATTTATTAGATACTAACTAGTACTTATTCCATTAGTAACTATCATCAATTCAGTCTGGTTATGCTTTGCTACTTAATTACTAGTAACTAGTGATGCACTGAAATTTCTGCATCTGAAAATATATATAAATTTTGTTTTTGGTTTCAGCCAAAATCGTTTTGAAGGGCTGAAATCATTGATTTTAACAGTCAGTGCTTCTCCGTTGATGCATTTGGGTTCTGTGAGTGTCTATTTTGTGCTCACCATGTGGATTTCATGTAAACATTAGCAGCAGTGTGGGCGCACTTCACCATGACCAATAATGAAGCTGAAGCTCGTTGCCGAAGATCTTTAATACCACTGGTTTATCACCTGAGAATGCAACACCTTGAACAGCATACCGAGTTCAATTACCCAAATTTAGCTACTGAAACTTTATTTTTGTGAAATTAACTTTTCTGTCTCTGTTTGTAACTGTCCTAATAGTCTGCTTGCCATATGTCTTCTTCCCTGAACTGATTTGGTGAGACTGTTTCTATTTGGTTTATAGCACTGCTTATTGAAACTTGTTCTCCAGGTCACCATTTTTTTTGCTCTTCTCCTGGTTGCTAAGCACAGCTTCCATGTGATCAGATGTTACTCTCCGGAGGCAGGTGTGAGAGAAAACTTAGCTAGGCTTGGGTATATGTTGAAACCGAGATCATTATATTTGGTCTTGTTACCTGAATTCAGCTCTCTTAGGCTCACGGTTTAAATGATTTAGAAAAATTGTTCACGTTTCCATTATCATAATCTGGCACAATATTACCATATAGGTTTTTGGATTATCATGTTATTGTCCCATGTTATTGATTAGGACATATGGTAAAATATTATTGTAACACGTGCTGGACTACAGCCGCTTTTGTGGTTTTGGCCGATTCTTGTCATTCACCTAAACAGATTGTATTGAGTCAGGTTTTATCAGCAAACTCTTCTCTTAAACTGTCTATTCAAAGCTGAAAGGCTTCCCCAGTGCAACAGATCTCTTCACATCACCCGTTTACCAGAGTCTCCCCAAGTTTGCAGTTATATGCCTTTGGCAGGAGACCCACAGTGGAACAATACTCTTATTATCCCAGGACTGAGACGTATGGTCACGTAAGGCTGACCATGGAGAAAGTATTTTGCTCTTGAAGAAGTATAAAGCTTCCCCACCTAGGGTCACCTTAAGCCCTCTATTGTACCCAGCTTGGCTTCTAAACGGTGAGGTCAACCTGGAACTGTAAGCGGTTCCCCTGTACAAAGAAAGGTTGCTTAAAAAGCAAAGTTTTTTTGAATGACATTCTTCCTCTCTCTGTCAAGGTGGATCATAAGGCATCACATGATTAAGTGGCTAGGTGTGTGTAGTCATGCTTTCTTATTCCCCGTAAAGGGAAGTTCCTCATCCATTCATTTGTTAAGGTTATGGCAGTACTGATGTCACAATACTGGATGCTGAATAGCTGTCGTGATGAAGCTGAGGATCTGTAGCGTTAAGGCATATACTGCAATGATTCACCACGTTTGTGTGCTAGCTCTTTGGATGAGGAAAACCCATCATGTTTCTCTCTCTTGAACGGGAGACTGCCATTACCAGGGCTCTAGAGTGCGACCATTTTGGTCGCACATGCGACCAAAATTTGTAAGGGTGCGACTAAACTTTTTTCCTAGGTCGCACCAGTGCACCTACGTTCTCGCATGATTGCATCCGCTGCCTCTCCACAAACGAGTCTTTTGTTCTCCTTGCACGCATGGTTGGATCATATCGTGGTCTAAACCAATCAGAGATAGAGATTGGGCGGGTCTTTGCCTCTGATTGGCTGTGGTTCAGATATTCCTGTAGGACTAAAATGCTCCGTTCTGTGTGATTGAAATAAATTGCGACCTGTCACCTGTGCACCAGAGAATCAGTTACGGCAATCAGCAGCATCAGCTAAATAAACGCAAGAAAACAGACGACGAAGAAACTTTTAAAAATGTAGGCTACTTGAACTAGGGCTAGGTGAAAAATATTGATTTCTCGATTTTAATCGATTCTCATTTTTACGAACCGTTGGGCTATGCTGTTTTCAGTTGATGAATGAATGGAACATTGTAGCGAGCATCCCATCCAATAAATCGCAATAATCTTTGTGCTTTGTTACTATTGATATGAAACAAAGTCTCAGATTTCAAATTAGGTCCATTTTCTTATAAAATTCAAAAACATAAATAGTGTGTTGTTGACGCTGTGGTGTGAGATCGCTCTGGCTCAGCTCAGCTCAAGAGAAGCAGCAGTGCGGAGCGCACATGATCTTCTCTTCCGCCTTAATAATACCAGTTACAGCGCGAAATAAACATGAACGAGCATCTGAAAGTGTGCTAAAAGATAGGGTACAACTTATCGAAATCCGTATCATGTCACATGGAATCGCTCAATCAGTGTTTCAACCGTGGAAAGACGTCAGTAAAACGCTTGT